CACCAGACGAAAAATATACTACAGACATCAAAAAAGTTTCCATGACAACAAAACCTGGATGCGGAGAAAGCATGAATATCCAAATCCATGCATGCATGCATACATTATACAGTTCACTCCTCAGAAAGTCTAACATATTGAAGCGGAATATTGATTCTAAAAGATTGTATCCCAAATGTACGTTGACATGCACATCTCACACCTGTGCATTCCCTTGTAAACTCAGCAAAAAAAGAAACGTCCTCTCACTGTCAACTGCGTTTATTTTCAGAAAACTTAACGTGTAAATATTTGTATGAACATAAGATTAAACAACTGAGACATAAACTGAACAAGTTCCAAAGAAATGTGACTAACAGAAATGGAATAATGTGTCCCTGAACAAAGGGGGGGGGGGGGGGGGGGGTCAAAATCAAAAGTAACAGTCAGTATCTGGTGTGGCCACCAGCTGCATTAAGTACTGTAGTGCAACTCCTCCTCATGGACTGCACCAGATCTGCCAGTTCTTGCTGTGAGATGTTACCCCACTCTTCCACCAAGGCACCTGCAAGTTTGCGGACATTTCTGTGGGGAATGGCCCTAGCCCTCACCCTCTGATCCAACAGGTCCCAGACGTGCTCAATGGGATTGAGATCCGGGCTCTTCGCTGGCCATGACATTCCTGTCTTGCAGGAAATCACGCACAGAACGAGCAGTATGGCTGGTAGCATTGTCATGCTGGAGGGTCATGTCAGGATGAGCCTGCAGGAAGGGTACCACATGAGGGAGGAGGAGGTCTTCCCTGTAACGCACAGCGTTGAGATTGCCTGCAATGACAACAAGCTCAGTCCGATGATGCTGTGACACACCGCCCCAGACCATGACGGACCCTCCACCTCCAAATCGATCCCGCTCCAGAGTACAGGCCTCGGTGTAATGCTCATTCCTTCGACGACAAAACAGCGACTCATCAGTGAAGAGCACTTTTTGCCAGTCCTGTTTGGTCCAGCGACGGTGGGTTTGTGCCCATAGGCGACGTTGTTGCCAGTGATGTCTGTTGAGGACCTGCCTTACAACAGGCCTACAAGCCCTCAGTCCAGCCTCTCTCAGCCTATTGCGGACAGTCTGAGCACTGATGGAGGGATTGTGCGTTCCTGGTTTAACTCGGGCAGTTGTTGTTGCCATCCTGTACCTGTCCCGCAGGTGTGATGTTCGGATGTACCGATCCTGTGCAGGTGTTGTTACACGTGGTCTGCCACTGCGAGGACGATCAGCTGTCCGTCCTGTCTCCCTGTAGCGTTGTCTTAGGCGTCTCACAGTACGGACATTGCAATTTATTGCCCTGGCCACATCTGCAGTCCTCATGCCTCCTTGCAGCATGCCTAAGGCAGGTTTTTCAGAGTCAGTAGAAAGGCCTCTTTAGTGTCCTAAGTTTTCATAACTGTGACCTTAATTGCCTACCGTCTGTAAGGTGTTAGTGTCTTAACGACCGTTCCACAGGTGCATGTTCATTAATTCTTTATGGTTCATTGAACAAGCACGGGAAACAGTGTTTAAACCCTTTACAATGAAGATCTGTGAAGTTATTTGGATTTTTACGAATTATCTTTGAAAGACTGTCCTGAAAAAGGGACGTTTCCTTTTTTTTGCTGATTTTAGATCCCATGTGTCTCTCTGCCTCTTAACTCCAGTGTAAACAGTCTGAAAATGCAGTGCTGTGCAGAAAATATTGCAATAAATCAGTTAAATGGTTGTTTTTTGGGAGGAAAAAATCCCTGTTGCACGTTCATGGAAAAGCTCTAGCAAATGGATTTTAGATCTGGAGATACCTTCCTTTATTAATATAAGATAGGCCTACGGAGCTGTGAGGGGAACGGCACCTCCGTACCTTCAGGCTCTGATCAGACCCTACACCCAAACGAGGGCATTGCGTTCATCCACCTCTGGCCTGCTGGCCCCCCTACCTCTGCGGAAGCACAGTTCCCGCTCAGCCCAGTCAAAACTGTTCGCTGCTCTGGCACCCCAGTGGTGGAACAAGCTCCCTCACGACGCCAGGACAGCGGAGTCACTCTCCACCTTCCGGAGACACTTGAAACCCCACCTCTTTAAGGAATACCTGGGATAGGATAAAGTAATCCACCCCCCCCCCCCCTTACCCCACCCAAAAAAAAAAAACATATTGTAAAGTGGTTATCCCACTGGCTATAAGGTGAATGCACCAATTTGTAAGTCGCTCTGGATAAGAACGTCTGCTAAATGACGTAAATGTAAATTCCTATTGCATTGTACTGTAGTGGGGAAATGAATATGATTCATGGTTCAGTACAGAGTACTGTAGGAGGAACGTATATCACATTGGCTGTCTCCCAAATTGCACCCTATTCCCTACACGGGCCCTGATGAAAAGTAGTGCACTAGACAATGAATAGGGTGCCATTTGGGACACAAATATGGTTCAGTACAGAAAAGAAGGAAAACATATAATTGAATTATTCATAGCTGTGTTCGTAGACAATAACGTTTCACTAGAACAAACAGGAGAGAAAGACGTTACCAGAAACGATCGACACTTTAGGGTTATAATCATGTTTGATTTGCAATGGTCTACACCACCAGCAGCATGCTGTGACAACACACAAGGCCTTCACATCTATCCTGGGGAAAGAGATTCAATGGAGGCTATACAGCCTCTTCTGGACACTGTGTTTATTCATGTCTGAGGCTACGCAGCCTCTTCTGGACACTGTGTTTATTAATGTCTGAGGCTATGCAGCCTCTTCTGGACACTGTGTTTATTCATGTCTGAGGCTATGCAGCCTCTTCTGGACACTGTGTTTATTCATGTCTGAGGCTATGCAGCCTCTTCTGGACACTGTGTTTATTAATGTCTGAGGCTATGCAGCCTCTTCTGGACACTGTGTTTATTAATGTCTGAGGCTATGCAGCCTCTTCTGGACACTGTGTTTATTCATGTCTGAGGCTATGCAGCCTCTTCTGGACACTGTGTTTATTCATGTCTGAGGCTACGCAGCCTCTTCTGGACACTGTGTTTATTCATGTCTGAGGCTATGCAGCCTCTTCTGGACACTGTGTTTATTAATGTCTGAGGCTATGCAGCCTCTTCTGGACACTGTGTTTATTAATGTCTGAGGCTATGCAGCCTCTTCTGGACACTGTGTTTATTCATGTCTGAGGCTATTCAGCCTCTTCTGGACACTGTGTTCATTCATGCCTGTTCTCCTTTTTCTTTCCCCTTCTCCTAGCATCACAATAACGTCCACGTCCCAAATGGCACCCCATTCCCTACATAGTGCACTACTTTTGACCATAGGTCTATGGTCAAGAGTAGTGCACTATATAGGGAATAGGGTGTCATTTGGGACAAAACCTATGACTGCTAGTTGTCTATGAGTAGATTTCTGAGATACAACAAGTATGCTCATCACCATGACAATGGTGTAAATGAAGTTAGATAATGTGTTGATTTAGCTGCAAGCCTATGTGTAAAATAGCACAATATGTAACGGCATGTGATGAACTGCAACAACACTGTATTTTGTGTTGTGATCTAGTCAGTCACATTAGGGTAGGCGCAGTCCTGATCAGACATTGGAGTAATGATGAGTCACAGTAACGTTTTGAATCGCTGTGTCGGGCCTACAGGGAAGCATCATGCTTGGGTGAATGCCTGAAGATCTAACCACCTGATCTGTTTTGTAACTTTAGTTATAGGATTTAATCATTCTATTGGGGACAGTTGATCATTCTGGTCAATTTTCATGTATTTCTAACGCGTTATCTTCTCCTGCACATTATAAATTAGCTGCAATGCTGCCAGATTGCAATATCACTTTTAGGCTACAATATTTACTTACTGCAGCGACTGGTCAGTGCTCGGTAGCCTATTATTAGAATGCATATTACTGGTCCAATAGTAGCTGTTTATGCCCTCTAGCGGACCACAGGCAAAAATGACCCTCCTGTCACATGACGTCACACGAATTCGATCACATGATAGCCTCGAGAAAAAGAAAACAGGAAATATTTCAGCCAGCGCTTTCACTTTGGTAAGTTTTACCACTAAATACAGTGTTTATAAAATGTTGATCTCACTATTACCAAGAGAGTTACTCATAAAAGAGTAAATGACACTAAACCTCATCGTATTTGTTGTTGAAAAATCACCACTCGTCTAACCAAACTAGCTACTCTTGTTTAGCTAGCGATGGGCTCATGCAATGCTGCCTGTCCAGGCAGAAAAGCAACCTCCTCTAGCTATGCAATTTGAAAATGTGAACGATTGTATGTTCATTTATGTGTACATGAATAGTTAGCATGCAGTTATAGCCTGTCTGTTTGCTTCAATGTTTATTACTTTACTTACACATGAGTGGTCCTCTGTTGCTCACTTAATAATAATAATAATAATATGCCATTTAGCAGACGCTTTTATCCAAAGCGACTTACAGTCATGCGTGCATACATTTTTGTGTATGGGTCACTTGGTAGAGCATTGCAACTCCAGGATGGTGGGTTCGATTCCAGGGACCACTCATACGTTAAAAAGAATGCATGCACGCATGACTGCTTTGAACACACCGACCGTGTCTTTGCGTTTTGGTACACCAGAAGTACAGTCATTTCCAATGGAACGCCGCGTTTGCCTTGCAGCATTGCGTTCTGTGTGGCGCATACGTTGGATTTATCGAACGTATGCGTCAAACTGTATGCGTCGACGGCTTGACAGAAATGGTAGCAGAAGGTGAATGTCGAAGTTTTGTTGCACACATATCTAGATGATGCTGCGTACCATTTTGCGCAATGACAAGGCGTAATTGCGCAAAATGGTACGCAGCATCTTCTGGATATGTTTGCAACGAAGCAAACGCAGCGTTCCATTGGAATTTAATGTACTTCTGGTGTACCAAAAGGCAATGTCGGTGTGATCGAGGCATAAGTCGCTTATATATTATAACCAATCACCCTTTTGTGTCATGGTGGTCCGACAGGGGGAGAGAAAGATGGGGTCAGCTGTCGAAAGGACGGATGAACATGTCCGAGAATACTTGATATATCGCGGTTTCACCAGCACACTGAAGCACCTAGACTCTGATATAAAAGCAGACAAGGAGAAAGGATTCAGAGTATGTATGAAACAGTGTATTTGAAGTCATTTAACCATCCAGGTATTGCAAAGCACAACAGCAGTAGCTTGGTCCCAGCGTTGGCAAGACAGCACAAACAGATGTGGGACCAGGCTATAGCAGTAGCTTATAGCCTTGTCACTCTGACCGATGTAGACAGGTGAGAAGTTAGATCTTTGTATGTACACTGTATATACAAAAGTATGTGGACACCCCTTCAAATTAGTGGATTTGGCTATTTTCAGCCACACCCGTTGCTGACAGGTGTACAAAACCGAGCACACCGCCATGCAATCTCCATAGACAAACACTGGCAGTAGAATGGCCTTACTGAAGAGCTCAGTGACTTTGAACGTTGCACCTTCATAATGTCTGCCCTGGTAGAGCTGCCCCCGATCAACTGTAAGTGCAGTGATTGCGAAGTGGAAACGTTTAGGAGCAACAACGGCTCAGCCGCGAAGTGGTAGGCCAAACAAGCTCACAGGACTGGACCGCTGAAGCGCCTAGCGTGTACAAATCGTCTGTCCACGGTTGCAACACTCACTACCGAGTTCCAAACTGTTCGTTGGGAGCTTCATGAAATGGGTTTCCATGGCCAAGCAGCTGCACACAAGCCTAAGATCACCATGAGCAATGCCAAGCGTCGGCTGGAGTGGTGTAAAGCTCGCCACCATTGGACTCTGGAGCAGTGGAAACGTGTTCTCTGGAGTGATGAAGCATGCTTCACCATCTGGCACCATCGCCCAACATCAGTGCCCGACCTCACTAATGCTATTGTGGCTGAATGGAAGCAAGTCCCCGCAGTAATGTTCCAACATCTAGTGGAAAGCCTTCCCAGAAGAGTGGAGGCTGTTATAGCAGCAAAGGAGGGACCAACTCCATATTAATGGCCATGATTTTGGAATGAGATGTTTGAAGAGCAGGTGTCCACATACTTTTGGTCATGTAGTGTATATGTATATACCAGTGGAGGCTGCTGAGGGGAGGACTGGCTCATAATAATGTCTGGAATGGAGTCAATGGAATGGTATCAACCTCATGGAAACCACGTGTTTGATGTGTTTGACGCCATACCAATGACTCCATTCCAGCCATTATTATGAGCCGTCCTCCCTTCAGATGTCTCCACTGGTATGTACAGTTTAAGTCGGAAGTTGACATACACTTAGGTTGGAGTCATTAAAACTTGTTTTTCAACCACTCCACTAATTTCTTGTTAACAAACTATAGTTTTGGCAATTCGGTTAGGACATCTACTTTGTGCATGACACAAGTAATCTTTCCAACAATTGTTTACAGACAGATTATTTCACTTATAATTCACTGTATCACAATTCCGGTGAATTTTGGCCCATTCCTCCTGACAGAGCTGGTTTAACTGATTGAAGTTTGTAGGCCTCCTTGCTCGCACACGCTTTTTCAGTTCTGCCCACAGATTTTCTACACGATTGAGGTCAGGGCTTTGTGATGGCCACTCCAATACCTTCACTTTGTTGTCCTTAAGACCATTTTGGGACAACTTTGGAAGTATGCTTGGGGTCGTTGTCCATTTGGAAGACCAATTTGCGACCAAGCTTTTAACTTCCTGACTGATGTCTTGAGATGTTGCTTCAATATATCCACATCATTTTCCTTCCTCATGATGCCATCTATTTTGTGAAGTGCACCAGTCCCTTCCTGCAGCAAAGCACCCCCACAGCATGATGCTGTCCACCCCCGTGCTTCACGGTTGAGATGGTGTTCTTCGGCATGCAAGCCTACCCCTTTTTCCTCCAAACATAACGATGGTCATTATGACCAAACAGTACTATTTTGTTTCATCAGACCAGAGGACATTTCTCCAAAAAGTAAGATCTTTGTCCCCATGTGCAGTTGCAAACCGTAGTCTGGCTTTTTTTTATGGTGGTTTTGGAGCAGTGGCTTCTTCCTTGCTCAGCGGCCTTTCAGGTTATGTTGATATAGGACTCGTTTTACTGTGGATATAGATACTTTTGTACCTGTATCCTCCAGCATCTTCACAATGTCCTTTGCTGTTGTTCTGGGATTGATTTGCACTTTTAGCACCAAAGTACGTTCATCTCTAGGACACAGAACGCGTCTCCTTCCTGAGCGGTATGACGGCTGTGTGGTCCCATGGTGTTTATACTTGCGTACTATTGTTTGTTAGACGAATGTGAATGTGGTACCTTCAGGCATTTGGAAATTGCTCAGAAGGATGAACCAGACTTGTGGAGGTCTACCATTTGTTTTCTGAGGTCTTGGCTGATTTCCTAGAGGCACTGAGTTTGAAGGTAGGCCTTGAAATACATCCACAGGTACACCTCCAATTGACTCAAATGATGTCAATTAGCCTATCAGAAGCTTCTAAAGCCATGACATCATTTTCTGGAATTTTCCAAGCTGTTTAAACCCACTGGAATTGTGATACAGTGAATTATAAGTGAAATAATCTGTCTGTAAACAATTGTTGGAAAAAAAAAAATTACTTGGGTCATGCACAAAGTAGATGTCCTAGCCGAATTGCCAAAACTATAGTTTGTTAACAAGAAATGTGTGGAGTGGTTGAAAAACGAGTTTTAATGACTCCAACCTAAGTGTATGTAAACTTCCGACTTCAACTGTATTTATGAGGTACTTGTCAAAACCTTTTGCTCTGTATTTTTATCCCAGGGTAAACTTTTACATTATATGAAACCTGTTCCGTTTCACTTCATGATATTAAGGTTTATTGTACCTCTGGACTATAAATTATCAGGTGGATAAGATCATTGATCAGCTTCAGCTGTTCATCAATAGCTTTGACCTGAATGGCCTGAAGGACTACTGGGGCTATCTGGACCGGAGACTGTTCTGTAGGCTAGAAGACGTCTACAGACCCACAGTCTCCAAGCTACGGACCAGTCTCTTCAGATACTACGTTGTTTACACTGTACAGGTGAATCTTCTTCTTCTTCTTCTTCTTCTTCTTCTTCTTCTTCTTCCATTATGTGTGGATAGCCCAATGTTGTTGACTGATTATTGATATACAGCATGGCCTTTCCCTCTCTCCTCATCCCTCCTCCCTCTCTTCATCCATCCCTCCCTCCCTCCTCTCTCCCCTGTCCTTCCTTCTCTCCCTCCCTCCATCCATCCCTCCCCACCCCCCCCCCCTTTTCTCGCTGTCCCCTTCCCAGTTTAAACCCCCTTTGAGAAGCCCAGGAGTTTTTCCAGGGCCCGGTCGGGATCCAGGGCCATTTGGGAGTGGCGGGGTTTGGGTTTCCTGCCATTTACCCCCGGCCCCCGAGCAAAAAACCCCTTTTTCTCGCCGTACTTCCCCCGTCAGTGTTGAACCTTCCTGGTCTCACTCCCCAAAACTTCCTCTCTGTGCTTTTTCCCAGTGCATGCATACCCTTTTTTGTTCTGGGCAAACTACAGTACTGACACACAATGACTTGGACACACTATAAACTACAGACACAATGCAGGGGACACACTATGACTACAGACAACTTGCCTCCAAAAACCTATGACTACAGACACACAAAGGGCCTCCAGACACTAGGGATACGACACTTTTAAATACGCCCACACAAAGGGCCCTACAGCCCAATTTATGACACAGACACCAGGGACAAAAGGGACACACTATGATACAGACACATATCCCTCCCGCCCACTATGACTCGACACTAGGGACTACAACAAAATTGGCTACAGACAAAACTATGATACAGACCATTTGGACACAGCCTAGGGATACAGCCCCAAATATGGCACGACACCTAGGGACACGACACACTAGACTACAGACACACTATGATACAGACCTATGACTACGGGAAAATATAAACGGGACACAATAGGGGCCAGCCCACCCTATACTACAGACACCCCTAGATAAAAGCCACATAAATACGGGACACCTAGGCTACAGCCCACACATGCCCCAAAGCCCACACTAGGGAATCAGACACACATGACCACAACCTATGATACAGACACATATGACTAAAAGACACAGACTACAGAAAAACCCTAGATTACAGACACCCAAATGGCACAGACACACTAGGGAAAACTTAACAAGACACCTATGATCCCCGACATTTATGACTACGAAAACATGAACAGCCACACTAGGGCCCTACAGACACACTATGACTACGACACCCTAGACTACGGGGCCCACTATGACTCAGACCCCACTATGACCACAGACCCCCTATGACTACAGACACATTATGACTACAGACCCCCACTATGACTACGGGGAAAACACGACTCCGGGAACCCCCACTAGGGCTACGGGACACACTATGACAAAACAGACAAAATAAAATCCCGCCACCTATGATACAGACACCCTATGACTACAGACACTAGGGGCTACGACACACTAGGGCTACAAACATTTGGACTCAGACCACTATGACTACAGACACCTATGACTCCCAGACACACTGGGACTACAGACACCTATGACTACGACACACTTTTAAACCCCCAAAAACCTTTACTTACGCCCACACTATAAACCCCCGGCCAACTATGCTACAGACCCACTTTTTACTACAGCACTAACTACGGGACACACTTGCTACAGACCACTAGGGACAAGCCAAAATATAAATCAGACCCACTATGCCAAACCAGACACACAGGGACTACAGACCCATGACCACAACACTATGACTACAGACACACTATGACTGCAGACACACTATGACTACAGACACACTATGACTACAGACACACTATGACTACAGACACTATGACTACAGACACACTATGACTACAGACACACTATGACTACAGACACACTATGACTACAGACACACTATGACTACAGACACACTATGACCACAGACACACTATGACTACAGACACACTATGACTACAGACACACTATGACTACAGACACACTATGACACATACTCTCAGAGGCAAACCATCAGGTTAATATCTGGTTAATAATTGACTCACATTCACTCACTTTGTTTTTGCTTGACTTGGCAGATGTCATGCTGCATCTGCATCACCCCAGGTTGTGTTAACAGAATGCCAGATCTAGTAAATAGGAAAATGGAATCGTTTCAAAACAAGAAAGTAAAGTAAATGGCAGCTAAACCATTTCCATTTAAATGGAAACACAAATGTACATAAAGGGTTTGAGTAGTTTTTTTCCTTGGAAATAACCCCCCCAAACCTGTGCTTTTAGCTTTTACGCTGAAAATCCAGGGACCCCTGGTTCAGGAGGAAAACGAACAGCTCAGACATGTGGTTTTTGTCTTCTCCTTAAAAAAAAAAAAAAAGGGGGGTACCGGGGGAGAAAAATTTTTGATAAATTAAACCAAAAGAAGTTTGGAAAAACCCAGAAAACTCCAACATTTGATGACCTTTTTAATGCCCCGGGGAGGTATACTCACACCAACGTTTTTTTTTGGGTGTGATGTTACTTTCCCTACGGGGTTTTTTAAGAATCACCTTTTTTAAGTCCCCTCCTTTCCAAAAACCCGTGGCGCCTTTGCATTACTGCTCCCCTCAAAAAGGGCCCAAGGATGGCTGCTAAAGCTCTCTCCTCGGGGGGGGGGGGGGGGGGGGGGGTTCCCGGGGGTTTTCCGGGGGGGCCCGGGGGGGCCCCCCCCCCCTTTCCCGGGGTTCCCCCCCTTTTTTTGGGCCCCGGGGGTTTTCCCCCCTTTCCCCTCTTCTTGTCCTCTCTCGTTTCCCTCTGTTCTCCGGGTTTCTTCTGTTTTGTTTTTTTGTTTCCCCTTTTCCCCGTTTTTCTCTTCGTCCCCTTTTCTTGTCCTCTTTTCGCTCCTCTCTTCTGCTCCCCCTCTGCCCCCCTCTCCCAAACTTCCCCCCTCTCTCTCTCTCTCTCTCCTCTCTTCCAAAACTCTGCCCCCCTTTTCTCTCTCTCTCTCTCTCTCCCAAAAAAACCCCCCCCCCCCCCCCGCCCCAAAAAACCCCCCCCCCGGGGGAGGGAAAAAAGAAGAGAAGAGAGTGATAAAAAAAAAAGGGAAAAAAGGGGGGAGGGGGGGGGGAAAGGGGGGGAAAAAAAAGAGGACAAAATTTGGGGGATTGAGGGGGAGGGGGGGGGGGGAGGGGGGGGGGGGGGGGGGGGGGGGGGGTTTAGGGGGGGGGATAAAGGGGTGTGATTATAGTTATTTGTTTAGTATTTTCTCCTCTTCGTACGATACTGTAGATGTACTATTTAACTAACTTATTGTTAAAACTGTTTTAATGTGTTAACGTGTTTTACATATGGATAAGGACGATAAATAAACAATTCACCCTGAATTGTTGTTTTTCAACATGATTAGTTTCAGTAGTTCTGTCTGTTTGCTCTATGCAGGGATGCAAAGCTCCGATCCCTGAGGGTCTCAGCGGCTGCTGAAATGTCTGGAGCCCTGGGCCTGTATTCACAAAGTGTCTCCAAGTAGAAGTGCTGATGTGCGATCGGTTCCCCCCCCCCAATCTTGTAACTACAGATTTTTTATTTATTTTTTAAAGGCAAAACTGATCCTAGATCAGCAGAGATGCTTTGTGGACACGGGCCTTGGTGTGAATGGTATGGGGTTGACTACAGTCAGGGCCTTGGTGTGAATGGTATGGGGTTGACTACAGTCAGGGCCTTGGTGTGAATGGTATGGGGTTGACTACAGTCAGGGCCTGGTGGGGATGGTATGGGGTTGACTACAGTCAGGGCCTTGGTGTGAATGGTATGGGGTTGACTACAGTCAGGGCCTTGGTGTGAATGGTATGGGGTTGACTACAGTCAGGGCCTTGGTGTGAATGGTATGGGGTTGACTACAGTCAGGGCCTTGGTGTGAATGGTATGGGGTTGACTACAGTCAGGGCCTTGGTGTGAATGGTATGGGGTTGACTACAGTCAGGGCCTTGGTGTGAATGGTATGGGGTTGACTACAGTCAGGGCCTTGGTGTGAATGGTATGGGGTTGACTACAGTCAGGGTTTGGCGTTTGAGAATACAATACAATACACGATGTAGCAGAGGAATCACAACACAAAAGTGGTCTGAGGACATTTCCAGCTAGTCTGACGGCTTGGTCTGTAGTTTGATCTGTAACGTTCTATTTAACAAAGCAAATGGCCTGCAAAAGGCAGGAAACACTCAGCAAAGCTTCCACACCACTTAGCGAGAACCCCAGTTTAAGAGACTCATTTTGAAACTAAATCAAAAGGTCTTCAGATAAGGAATCTAGTATCTGTCTAGGTTTTTTCTCATGACGCATTTCATTTTCTTCCACTACATTCTTGGCTTGTCTCCCAAATAGACCTCGTTTTACTCACTGGGCACACAACATCACGTGGTATCTGAGGGTTAATTGAGTTTTACAGTTGTGAGTGAGTGGACCTGCGCACAGCATCAGCGAAGAATGGTGTTGGGAGGGAAATTTACTTTTATAAAGCAGCCCGAGGTTTCCGATATCTCAAAATGTTGAATCAATCTTATTGGTGACAACTTTTCGACCACTCAGGTCTTCATCACCTTTAATACCTCCACACAGAGATCTGTTTGATTCACACTTGATTCATGTTTGATTCACATATGATTCATCTGTCCTATCTCCACACAGGGACCTGGTGACGAGCCAGCATAACCCCGCCCTCACCACCACCCCTTCGAGGAACTTCTTCGCTACATTCCTGCCCCAGACCAGACGGGTACCTGGCAAGACGCCTCGAGGACTTCCTGGATCCTCACCAACACAGGCCTCTCTGGGATGCAAGGACCCCGCAGCCAATCAAGTGAGACCATATGTTCCTCCGGAAATTAGGACATTTCTGTTGAGACTGAGACGCTGGATTTATAGACCCTTAGGGATGTGTTTTAAGGGGGCTAGATAAAGTTTCAGTGGAAAATCCCTTCCACTCACTGTGTGTGCAGTACTGTGTTAGATACCTCCCGAGTGGCGCAGTGGTCTAAGGCACTGCATCGCAGTGCTAGCTGTGCCACTAGAGATCCTGGTTCGAATCCAGGCTCTGCTGTAGCCGGCTGCAACCGGGAGACCAATGGGGCGGCGCACAATTGGCCCAGCGTCGTCCAGGGTAGGGGAGGGAATGGCCGGCAGGGAGGTAGCTCAGTTGGTAGAGCATGGCGTTTGCAACGCCAGGGTTGTGGGTTCGTTTCCCACGGGGGGCCAGTATGAAAAAGAAAAAGAATAATGTATGCACTAACTGTAAGTCGCTCTGGATAAGAGCGTCTGCTAAATAATGTAAATGTAAATGTAGATAACTGTTACTCGAGTGGCTTTAAACTTATACCAGTATTTAGCAGTTTTCACCATTTATTTCATGATTAGCAGTAAGCATTTTTCTAGAAAACCTATTGACAACATAAGTATTTACAGTGGGTATCATACTGTAAGTATTCACCCCCCTTGGATTTTTTTCACATTGTGTTGCGTTACAAATTGGGATTGAAATATATTTAATTGTGATTTTTTTTTGTTGGGTCATTGATCTACACAAAATACAAATTAATAAGAAAATGTATAACTAAAATATAGTCGTTGCGTAAGTATTCAACCCCCTTTGTTTAGGCAAGACTACATTAGTTCAGGAGTAACATTTGGCTTAACAAATCACATAATAAGTTACATGGACTCTGTATGAAATAATAGGGGTTTGCATGGTTGTTGAATCACTAACCCTTCCTCTATCCCCCATACATACATCTCTAAGGCCCCTTAGTCAAGTATTGAATTTCAAGCACAGATTCAACTACTAAGACCAGCGAGCTTTTCGAAAGCCTCATAAAGAAGGGCAGTGATTGGTAGATGGGTAACAATAACAAATCAGACATTGAATATCTTTTTAAGCATGTTCAAGTTAATAATGATGCTGTGGATTATATATTAAAGAACCCAGACACAACCCCCACCTGTGGACGTCGGGCCCTCATACCACCCTCATGGAGTCTGTTTCTGACCGTTTGAGCAGACACATGCACATTTGTGGCCTGCTGGAGGTCATTTTGCAGGGCTCTGGCAGTGCTCCTCCTGCTCCTCCTTGCACAAAGGCGGAGGTAGCGGTCCTGCTGCTGGGTTGTTGCCCTCCTACGGCCTCCTCCACGTCTCCTGATGTACTGGCCTGTCTCCTGGTAGCGCCTCCATGCTCTGGACACTACGCCTGACAGACACAGCAAACCTTCTTGCCATAGCTCGCATTGATGTGCCATCCTGGATGAGCTGCACTACCTGAGCCACTTGTGTGGGTTGTAGACTCTGTCTCATGCTACCACTAGAGTGAAAGCACCGCCAGCATTCAAAAGTGACCAAAACATCAGCCAGGAAGCATAGGAACTGAGAAGTGGTCTGTGGTCACCACCTGCAGAACCACTTCTTTATTGGGGGTGTCTTGCTAATTGCCTATAATTTCCACCTGTTGTCTATTCCATTTGCACAACAGCATGTGAAATGTATTGTCAATCAGTGTTGCTTCCTAAGTGGGCCAACTTTTTTTTTTTTTTTTTCATACTTCCCACGGGAAACGAACCCACAACCCTGGCATTGCAAACGCCATGCTCTACCAACTGAGCTACATCCCTGCCGGCCATTACCTCCCCTACCCTGGACGAATTGTGCGCCGCCCCATGGGTCTCCCGGTCGCGACCGGCTACGACAGAGCCTGGATTCGAACCAGGATCTCTAGACCACTGTGCCACTCGGGAGTACTGCTTCAGTCTGCTTTCCACCAGACACTGGGAGAGGAATTCACCCTTCAGCAGGGCAATAACCTAAAACACAAGGCCAAATCTACACTGGAGTTACTTACCTAGAAGACAGTGAATGTTCCTGAGTGGCCGAGTTACAGTTTTGACTTAAATTGTCTTGAAAATCTATGGCAAGACTTGAAAATTGCTGTCTTGCCATGATCCCCATCACCTTGACAGAGCTTGAAGAGTAATGGGAAAATATTGGGACAATCAAGGTGTGAAAAGCTCTTAGAGACTTGCCCAAGAAGACTCACAGCTGTAATCACTGCCAAAGGCGCTTCTATGTATTGACTCAGGGGGGTGAATACATATATCATACTTATCTAATCAAGGTACAGTATACAGTATTAGTGTTTCTTTTTCATTAATCATTACAGAGTATTTTGTGTAGATCGTTGACCACAAAAAAAGCCATTTTAATCCCACTTTGTAACACAATAACATGTTTTGGAAAACAAACCGCTTTCATGTATCTTATTCTGTGAAGGCCAAGGACCCATTACCGGTCTCCAAGGAGCCCAGGCCGGTGAATAGCGCTGGGGGAACCAGCGAGCAGCAGGCCGGGCCCAACTCCCACCCCAGACAGAGACGACACCAGGACCACGAGAAGGAGAGGAAGGAGTTGTTCTCCAAGCCACAAATTCAGGTTTCAACTCCTGTATTACTAAGGAAAGGATGTTGCCTAGTGGGCATGTTTTGGATTTAATTAGCAAATTCCACTTTCTGTAACAAAGTTCCTGGCTTTACATTTACATGCATTCCCTCCTTGAATACCCCGTAGAAGTATAATGAAGTTCTATTTACATATTACATTCTAAAGAGATCAATTGGTAAAGAGATCAATCGACCAAAACAATGGAAATGCCATGGCAACGCCATTCAAGCATCAAGTTTTAATGTCACATTCACAGTACAGTGAAATGCCTTTCTTGCAAGCTCTAAACCCAACAGCAGTAATCAATAACAATGTATTACTAAAAATAACAAGGTAGAACAAAAACACAAGACAAATAAAAATAAGAAATAAGAACAGGAGAAAGTAGGTAAGCATACTATACTGAACAAAAATATGAACGCAACAGTTTCAAAGATTTTACTGAGTTACAGTTCATGTAAGGAAATCAATCAATTGAAATCAATTCATTAGGCTCTAGTCGATGGGATTTCAAATGACTGGGAATCAGAGCATGTGAGCGGAGTTGATCGGTTCGACATCCCGCTCATCGCTCTTGGAGAGGCTGTCCTTTCCTGCCGCTCTGCTAAAAGCTCACAAAAAAAATATATTTAAAAAATCATTAAAATCACAATTTAACCAACACCCATCTATTTTTGTGTATACGTTACCTGGACCTACCAATTGGTTTTAAGTATTGAAACCAAACCATATGGATTTGAATGAAAAGTATTTGAATAAACATGAAAAGGTGAATGTAAGAAGCGAACATCTGGAACTTGGACGTAGACGCAGGGAGTCAGGAAGCAGGTGCAGATGGTCAGTTTAATAATAACGAACATGGAGAGTTACAAAACAAGAGAAGCGTCTGGACGTGAAAACTGAACCAATACTGCCTGAGTACTGAGGCTACTGAGGGCTATATGAAGGGAGCGTAACCAGGGTGGTGATGGAGTCCAGGTGTGTTTAACGATGGGGAGCAGGTGTGCTTAATGGTGGTTGCCAGGTGTGCGTAATGATGGTTGCCAGGTGTGCGTAATGATGGTTGCCAGGTGTGCGTAATGATGGTTGCCAGGTGTGCGTAATGATGGTTGCCAGGTGTGCGTAAGGATGGTTGCCAGGTGTGTGTAATGATGGTTGCCAGGTGTGCGTAATGATGGTTGCCAGGTGTGCGTAATGATGGTTGCCAGGTGTGCGTAATGATGGTTGCCAGGTGTGCGTAATGATGGTTGCCAGGTGTGCGTAATGATGGTTGCCAGGTGTGCGTAATGATGGTTGCCAGGTGTGCGTAATGATGGTTGCCAGGTGTGCGTAATGATGGTTGCCAGGTGTGTGCAATGTGGGTTGCCAGGACCGGTGGTTAGTAGACCGGCGGCGTCGAGAGCCGGAGGGAGGGAGCAGGAGTAGTGTAGCGTGACACATTAAAATCACAATTGAACCAACGCCCATCTATTTTTGTGACTACCTGGACCTACCGTTCGGTTTTGAAGTATCTGAAAAGTATTTGAATAAACATGAAAAGGTGAATGTAAGAAGCGCTCATCATTTCAAATAGGCTACATGTCGTATTAAACAGCATATAAACACTCTAAATAGGTCAGGAGACAGACAGGGAGTCTAAGAAGGAAAGACAATTAATTATTTAGGCTATATTATTTATATTATTTCAAGGCTAAAGCCTACACAGAAATACATTGTGAAACATTAGCGAGTGCAACACAATAGGCTGGTAGGAACATAAAGCACTCAGTATTTAAACAACATTTTGTTGTATTAAATCATTATAGTCTATAAATTGCCCATATACACTACCGTTGTAGTTTTTTGGTCCATTAAAATAACATCAAATTGATCAGAAATACAGTGTAGACATTGTTAATGTTGCAAATGGCTATTGTAGCTGGAAACTGCTGATTTTTAATGGAATATCTACATAGGCGTACAGAGGCCCATTATCAGCAACCATCAGTCCTGTGTTCCAATGGCACGTTGTGTTTGCTAATCCAAGTTTATCATTTTAAAAGGCTAATTTATCATTAGAAAAGCCTTTTGCAATTATGTTAGCACAGCTGAAAACTGTTGTGCTGATTTAAAGAAGCAATAAAAGTATCTGGAGCATCAGCAATTGTGGGTTCGATTACAGGCTCAAAATGTCCAGAAACAAATAACCTTCTTCTGAAACTCGTCAGTCTATTCCTGTTCTGAGAAATGAAGGCTATTCCATGCGAGAAATTGCCAAGAAACTGAAGATCTCGTACAACGCTGTGTACTACTCCCTTCACAGAACAGCGCAAACTGGCTCTAACCAGAATAGAAAGAGGAGTGGGAGGCACCGGTGCACAACTGAGCAAGAGGACAAATACATTAGAGTGTCTAGTTTGAGAAACAGATGCCTCACAGTTCCTCAACTGGCAGCTTCATTTAATAGTACCCGCAAAACACCAGTCTCAACGTCAACAGTGAAGAGGCGACTCCGGGATGCTGACCTTCTAGGCAGAGTTGCAAAGAAAAAGCCATATCTCAGACTGGCCAATAAAAATAAAAGATTAAGATGGGCAGGCAGTCTGAGATATGGCTTTTTCTTTGCAACTCTCAGATATGCTCTAGCCTTTGGGAATCTCTCTCCAGTCAAATTGGGCACGCTCCTTGCTCCAGCTCCGCTCACATACTATGCCGGGAATACAGATATGCATCTGGTCACAGATGCCTTAAAAAAGAGGTAGCGGCATGGGTCAGAAAACCAGTCATTGACCACCATTTTGCCTCATGCAGTGTGACACATATCCTTCACATAGAGTTGGTCAGGCTGTTGATTGCGGCCTGTGGAATGTTTTCCCACTCCTCTTCAATGGCTGTCTGTGCGAAGTTGCTGGATATTGGCGGGAACTGGAACACGCTGTCGTATACGTCAATCCAGAGCATCCCAAACATGCTTAATGGGTGACATGTCTGGTGAGTATGCAGACCATGGAAGAACTGGGACATTTTCAGCTTCCAGGAATTGTGTACAGATCCTTTTACATTTTAGTCATTTAGCAGACGCTCTTATCCAGAGCGACTTTACAGTTAGTGAGTGCATACATTATTAATTTCTTCATACTGGCCCCCCGTGGGAATCGAACACACAACCCTGGCGTTTCAAGCGCCAATTATCTACCAAATGAGCTACACGGGGCCATTATCATGCTGAAACACGAGGTGATGGTGGCAGATGAATGGCACGACAATGGGCCTCAGGATCTCATCACGGGATCTCTATGCATTCAAATTGCCATTGATAAAATGCAGTTGTGTTGGTTGTCTGTAGCTTATGCCTGCCCATACCAGAACCCCACCGCCACCAGGGGGCGCTCTGTTCACAACGTTGACATCAGCAAACCCACGTGATGCCATGCACGTGGTCTGCGGTTGTGAAGCCGGTTGGACGAACTGCCAAATTCTCTAAAACAACGTTGGAGGCGGCTTATGGTAGAGAAATGAACATTACATTCTCTGGCAACAGCTCTGGTGGACATTCCTGCAGTCAGCATGCCAATTGCACGCTCCCTCAAAACTTGAGACATCTGTGGCATTGTGTTGTTGTGACAAAACTGCACATTTTAGAGTGGTCTTTTATTGGCTTTAATCAGCTTCTTGATATGCCACACCTGTCAGGTGGATGGAATATCTCGGCAAATGAGAAATGCTCTTTAACAGACACATAAACACAATTGTGCACAACATTTGAGAGAAATAAGCTTTTTGTGCTTATGGAACATTTCTGGGATATTTTATTTCAGCTCATGAAACATCGGACCAACACTTTACATGTTGCTTCTATATTTTTGTTCAGTGTATATACAGGGTCAGTTCCAGTACCATATTTACAGTGTGCAGGGATACTGGAGTGATGGAGGTAGATATGAATAAAGGTGACTAGGCATCAGGATATATGATAAACAGAGTAGCAGCAGCGTATATGATGATTGTATGTGAATAGGTGTGTGTGTATTGTCAGGAATACAGTGCATTCGGAAAGTATTCAGACCCCTTCACTTATTCCGCATTTTGTTAAGTTACAGCCTTATTCTAAAATGTATTAAATAAAATGTTTCCCTCATCAATCTACACACAATACCCCATAATGACAAAGCGAAAACAGGTTTTTAGACATTTTAGAAAATGTATTACAAATATAAAACAGAAATACCTTATTTACATAAGTATTCAGACCCTTTGCTATGAAACTCGAAATTGAGCTCAGGTGCATCCTGTTTCCATTGATCACCCTTGAGAGGTTTCTACAACTTGATTGGAGTCCACCTGTGGTAAATTCAATTGATTGGACATGATTTGGAAAGGCACACACCTGTCTATATAAGGTCCCACAGTTGACAGTGCATGTCAGAGCAAAAACCAAGCGAGTTGAGGTCGAAGGAATTGTCCGTTGAGTTCCGAGACAGGATTGTGTCGAGGCATTTCTGCAGCATTGAAGGTCCCCAAGAACACAGTGGCCTCCATCATTCTTAAATGCAAGAAGTTTGGATCCACCAAGACTCTTCCTAGAGCTGGCCGCCCGGCCAAACTGATCAATCGGGGGAGAAGGGCCTTGGTCAGGGAGGTGACCAAGAACCCGATGGTCACTCTGACAGAGCTCCAGAGTTCCTCTGTGGAGATGGGAGAACCTTCCAGAAGGACAACCATCTCTGCAGCACTCCACCAATCAGGCTTTTATGGTAGAGTGGCCAGGCGGAAGCCACTCCTCAGTAAAAGGCACATGACAGAAAGCTTGGAGTTTGCCAAAAGGCACCTAAAGTGCTCTTAGACCATGAGAAACAAGATTCTCTGGTCTGATGAAACCAAGATTGAACTCTTTGGCCTGAATGCCAAGTGTCACATCTGGCGGAAACCTGGCACCATCCCTACGGTGAAGCATGGTGGTGGCAGCATCATGCTGTGGGGATGTTTTTCAGTGGCAGGGACTGGGAGACTAGTCAGGATCGAGGGAAAGATGAACGGAGCAGAGTACAGAGAGATCCTTAATGAAAACCTGCTCCAGAGCGCTCAGGACTTCAGACTGGGGAGAAAGTTCACCTTCCAACAGGACAATGACCCTAAGCACAATGCAGGAGTGGCTTCTGGACAAGTCTCTGAATGTCCTTGAGTGGCCCAGCCAGAACCTGGACTTGAACCCTGATCTAACATCTCTGGAGAGACCTGAAAATAGCTGTGCAGCGACGCTCCCCATCCAACCTGACAGAGCTTGAGAAGATCTGCAGAGAAGAATGGGAGAAACTCGCCAAATACAGGTGTGCCAAGCTTGTAGCGTCATACCCAAGAAGAATCAAGGCTGTATTCGCTGCCAAAAGTGCTTCAACAAGGTACTGAGTAAAGGGTGTGAATACTTATTTAATTTGCTTACATTTCTAAAAACCTGTTTTTGTTTTGTCATTATGGGGTATTGTGTGTAGATTGATGAGGGGAAAAAAACTAATTTCATCAATTTTAGAATAAGGCTGTAACGTAACAGAAATGTGGAAAAAGTGGAGGGGTCTGAATACTTTCCCAATGAACTGTAATAAAACAATTGATCTAAAAAAACAGATTTTCCCTAACGAAAAATACCCCCTACATTTATTATAATCCACATAAGAATTCACACGAGACGCGCTGTAACCTGCACTTAGCCTGCATAGGCTATTTGAACTGACGCCCAGTGGACCTGCAGTCTAAGTTATTGTAGCCTACAGTCACCGCTTCCAGCTGCCCCCTGGCGCCGATTTCTAAATATTATATAGACATTCAAATCCGCCTGCTGCAGGATTAGTTTCCTCCTGTGACGAAATGGGTCATATTAAGATCTGACATCTGCATGGAGCATGATGGGCAGTATGGGGGAGGTATTATCAACGAGGCTAAATGAGGCTTGTCTCTTCTTTCAGATGCCTGAAAAGAGAGGGGAGAGTGGGGACCCAGAACCCCACCCTGAGGGGGGGACCACCAGCAGTGACCTGACAGACACTCCTCCCCCCAGCCAGACACTGGTCAGCGGGGAGGGACCGAGGGGCACAGGGGGGCTGGGGGAGGGACAACCCTTCATCAAGCTCAGTCAGGAAGAGTACGGCGAGCATCACTCGTCAATCATGCACTGCAGGTAGGACAGCGCCTTTTAACGTTACATTGAACACCTGTTACAGTCAGCATCTAGTGGAGTGGAACTCCTGATGAACACGGGTTTGTTATTGATCTGCTACAGTAGCTCTTAGGTAATCAGACATGCTAATCACCGTCACATACTGTATAAGCAGACACTTTCCAGTGTCTTATACCCTGGTGTCCTTACTGCTCTGACCTGGTGACGCGTCAACCATAGTAGCAGAGCTGTACTGGCCTGACCGTGGAACCATGCTGGAAATAAAATATCCGAGCTGGAAGTGTGTGTTTCCACGGCCAGTAGGAGGCACTGCCCCAGCCAGGGCAGTTATTGGGGACATTGCCCTGTGTAGGGGGCGCCGTCTTTCGGATGGGACGGGTGTAAGCGGGTGTCCTGACTCTCTGTGGTCACTAAAGATCCCATGACACTTATCGTGAGAGTAGGGGTGTTAACCCCCGGTGCCCTGGCTAAAGTTCCCAATCTGGCCCTCATACCATCATGGCCACCTAATCATCCCCAGCTTCCAGTTGGCTCATTCATCCCTGTAACTGTTCCCCAGGTCGTTGCTGTAAATGAGAATGTGTTGTCAGTCAACTGACCTGGTCAAATAAAAGACACGACACAGTATGGTTCAATAGTGTGAAAGGGGTATTAATGAGGTCCAAGTCCGTCATGTGTATTCACTGTCCCCCCCTGTTCAATAGTGTGAAAAGGGTATTAATGAGGTCCAGGTCCGTCATGTATATTCACTGTGTCCCCCTGTTCAATAGTGTGAAAAGGGTATTAATGAGGTCCAGGTCCGTCATGTATATTCACTGTGTCCCCCTGTTCAATAGTGTGAAAGAGGTATTAATGAGGTCCAGGTCCGTCATGTGTATTCACTGTGTCCCCCTGTTCAATAGTGTGAAAAGGGTATGAATGAGGTCCAGCTCCGTCATGTATATTCACTGTGTCCCCCTGTCTCCGGTCCCAGGGTGGACTGCTCAGGGAGGAGAGTAGCCAGTTTGGACGTGGACGGGGTCATCAAGGTGTGGTCCTTCAACCCCATCATGCAGACCAAGGCCACCATCATGTCCAAGTCCCCTCTGCTGTCCCTGGAGTGGGCCACCAAGCCTGACAGACTGGTATGACCTCTGACCTCAACCAGGCCTGGAATTATGTGATTTTTAGGGGCAAGGCCATTTGGCCTTCAAGAGGTGCCCAATCTGCCAGGGCACCAAGTCCATAACCAAAATAGCACATTAAATTGATTTGAAAACCAAAAACAGTTATTCTGTAAAGAGAAACATAAGTGTATGTAAACGTACATAAATAATGACGCTACAAGTTGAAGTGCAGGTGATAGCCAATGGTATTGGCTGTAGTCGGTCATGTCCAGACCAATGCTGACAGGAGGGAGGCGGCAGAAAATATAGCCACACTTTAATGAGACTTTTTAATTACATGTATTTATAGGCTAAACGGCAGTCATGTTTAACAAAAATATAATGTAGGTCGGATAATATTAACGTCTTAAGGCTTGATTCTGTCATACTTGAGGTGTGCTGTTAGTTCATATAGGTGAGAAAGGCCAGTGCCTGTGATGCACTGCAACATTGCCATCTGAACGGAGGCAGTCAACATTTTGAAACTTTTTAACCAGAAACGTAATTGTTTAAAACCTGGATGTTTTATTTTTTTATTATGAGGAATATCGTACCGTCTTCCGAAAACATAGGAATATTAAGGGGATTCTTTTATAAACACTTCCTCATATGCCATTGAAACCAGTATTGCTCTCATGTTCTCAACTTTCTTTCGTTGTCCGGCAGCCAAAGACACACAATCTTAACAACCCATGCGGAGCGCTTTAGAGAACTGTGTTTTCCCGCATTTTGGAAGATTTGCGCTTATAATGTGAAGAAATAGCCTAATAGTTTATCAACATTTTAAGCTAAACGTTCTGATCTGTTGCATCAGCCTCATTGCTTTTAAAATGTTTATTTTATTTTATTTTTTTACGTACAGCGGATTTAATTTGGGATCTATTGCCCCACACCTGTCCCAGAGTCTTTTTGGAATATTTATTTATCGCACAGAAAGACAAGGACTGGCGCCGTTGCATCCCCGATGTGTCTGTCTTCACTAGTAGCCTACTTCGGAGCCGCAATGCCTGTGAGAAGGACCCGATCACGTGACGGGCTATGGCTAATAAGAATTGAGATATCTGAGAAAGCCGTGTGAGTGAGAGGTGCTTCGGAGCAGGGCGATTGGCAGACGGGATAAAATAATGTATAATTACTATGTTCAGCCACTTTGGCCGCAAGGCACATATATTTATAGGGGGCATTACGGCCGTACGTGGCCGTCGATGCCACCGGGGAATTCGAGCCCTGACCTCAACACAGCTTCTCTAACCCTAAACCTCTGCTGTCTCTGGAGTGGGCCACCAAGCCTGACAGACTGGTATGACCTCTGACCTCTAACCTCAACACGGCACATCAGGGCTATGTTCATTAGGGTACATCATAGCAAAAAACAAACGTTTCTTATTGGACAAGTCCCAGTTGTCCCCTACCCTGTTTCAGTCTGTTTTCTTCAGTTGTGTGCCCTAATGAACACTGTCCGGCCAGGTCTATATTTCCATGTGGTAGTAATGGCATCCTCGGTCCTCAGCACCCTGTTCTCTGCCTGTTTGCAGAGTGATGTGGGGAAAGCGGAAACCCCATCAGTAATACTGTCTTTGCTCCTGCGTCCTTATAGCTGTTGCTGGGCAGTGGTGCGGGTACAGTGAGGCTGTACGACACTGACGCTAAGAAGAACCTGTACGAGATGGCCATAGATGACACTCATCCACGGTAAGCTGAGATGCCTCTTATTCAGAGTGATTTGACAAAGCGTCGTGGTTGGAATAATGGATATCTATAGCAAAAGTCTTCATGTCTCATTAGAGTGGGTTGGATTCCCAGACACAGATTTAAACCCTAGTCCTGGACAAAAACAACAATTCTATGGAGATTCACCATCTTCATCTGTATCTGGTAAACCACCCCCGAAGAGGTTTGATAATGGAAGGCACTACTCAGTGATCTGTCTGGTGTCTCCTGTCCTGTTGCTGAAGAGGTTTGATAACGGAAGGCACTACTCAGTGATCTGTCTGGTGTCTCCTGTCCTGTTCCCGAAGAGGTTTGATAACGGAAGGCACTACTCAGGTGATCTGTCTGGTGTCTCCTGTCCTGTTGCCGAAGAGGTTTGATAACGGAAGGCACTACTCAGTGATCTGTCTGGTGTCTCCTGTCCTGTTGCCGAAGAGGTTTGATAACGGAAGGCACTACTCAGGTGATCTGTCTGGTGTCTCCTGTCCTGTTGCCGAAGAGGTTTGATAACGGAAGGCACTACTCAGTGATCTGTCTGGTGTCTCCTGTCCTGTTCCCGAAGAGGTTTGATAATGGAAGGCACTACTCAGTGATCTGTCTGGTGTCTCCTGTCCTGTTCCCGAAGAGGTTTGATAATGGAAGGCACTACTCAGGTGATCTGTCTGGTGTCTCCTGTCCTGTTCCCGAAGAGGTTTGATAATGGAAGGCACTACTCAGTGATCTGTCTGGTGTCTCCTGTCCTGTTCCCGAAGAGGTTTGATAATGGAAGGCACTACTCAGTGATCTGTCTGGTGTCTCCTGTCCTGTTCCCGAAGAGGTTTGATAACGGAAGGCACTACTCAGGTGATCTGTCTGGTGTCTCCTGTCCTGTGTCCCGGTGTTGTGTAGGATCCTGTCCCTGGCCTGTAGCCCCAGTGGTACGTCCTTTGTGTGTTCTGCAGCAGCCCACGCTGGACCCGGGCGCTCTGGCAGTGTAACAGAGACGGTACCACGCTGTCCCAATCCCCTCCCTGTCTCTGGACAGCTGCTGCTGTGGGACACCAAGACTGTCAAACAGCAGGTACTGCTGTAGGAAACACGTCACACAAACACGTGTACTATGTCACCCAAACACGTGTACTGTGTCACCCTAACACCCAAGTCCTTGTAGAGGAGGGACACATCTATTTTTCTCATTTACCAGTGTTGCTTGCTGTTATAGTTTAAAGTTGAATGGGGCAACTTGCTGGTATTTCTTAGAACAGTAACTTCATTTTGCTAAAACATTGAGAAATGCATCACAGTTATATATGCGTAAATATCTAGATATTATAGATACAATTACAGATATGTACTAGATATATATATATAAATATTTTACATGTATACCCTAGCCGTCTGAAGTTATAGCCCTGTAGCCTCATTCATGTCTTTCCAGTCACTGAACCATGTGACATCGCCATTTCCTGTTTCTGTCCTCAGCTTCAGTTCTCTCTGGAGCCAGGTCCTGTAGCCATCAACTGTACAGCCTTCAACCACAACGGAAACCTACTGGTGACTGGAGCTGCTGACGGAGTCATTCGACTGTTCGGCAAGTCACTTTATTCATTTACTCTCACTCATTTGTTGACTGTGCTTAACGAAGACCGGCACTATGATGAGAGATGAAATAGATGATATGGTAACACTTCTCCTATGAATAGCCTCTTCATAATGCATTATAATGCTTGACGCACTGTAGGCACTAATAACTAGATCTCGGAGTTGACATAGCTGACTGCAATGAGGTCTCTGAATGAAGAGGAGGCTGTGAACATAGAATAACTAGAATGAAAAAGGCCACTCATTGACTTCAATGGGGATTGCTGTTCTAATAATAATATTTATATGGCTGTTAACATGTGCCTCTATTTTCTCTCTATCCTCCAGACATGTAGAGCTATGGCCGTGCTATGAGCGGTTATAATGTCTGTATTTTCCAGACATGCAGCGTTATGACTGTGCTATGAGCTGTTATAACGTCTCTCTATTCTCCATAGACATGCAGCGTTATGACTGTGCTATGAGCTGTTATAATGTCTCTCTATTCTCCATAGACATGCAGCGTTATGACTGTGCTATGAGCTGTTATAACGTCTCTCTATTCTCCATAGACATGCAGCGTTATGACTGTGCTATGAGCTGTTATAACGTCTCTCTATTCTCCATAGACATGCAGCGTTATGACTGTGCTATGAGCTGGAGGGCCCATGATGGGGAGGTGTACAGTGTTGAGTTCAGCTATGATGAGAATACAGTGTTCAGTATCGGAGAGGACGGCAAGGTGAGTTAACTGAACTCAGGTAGTAAGACGGTACTAACATGGTAGTAACACGGTAGTAACATGCAGTAAATATGCTACTAACACGGTAGTAAGATGGTACAAACATGCTACTAACACGGTAGTAGCACAGTAGTAACATGCTACTAACACGGTAGTAACACAGTAGTAACATGCTACTAACACGGTAGTAACACAGTAGTAACATGCTACTAACACGGTATAACATGGTAGTAACATGCTACTAACACGGTAGTAACATGGTAGTAACATGCTACTAACACTGTAGTAACATGGTAGTAACATGCTACTAACACGGTAGTAAGACGGTACTAACGCGGTAGTAACACAGTAGTAACATGCTACTAACACGGTATACACAGTAGTAACATGCTACTAACGACGTAGTAACATGCTACTAACACGGTAGTACTAACATGTATAACACTGTAGTAAATGGTAGTAAATGCTACTAACTTTTATAACATGTTAGTAACTGCAAATACAGGTAGTAAGAGGGTACTAACGCGGGGGTATACACAGTAGTAACTGCTACTAACACGGTAGTAAGATGGTAGTAACAGCTACTAAACCCCCTAGTTAAGATGGTGGGTAACATGCTCCCAACATGGAGAAACATGGTAGTAACACTATAATAACTGATGGGGGGTTGAAACAGTGTTAGTTAAAGCTATGATGAGATACAGGGTTTCAGTTTTTGGAGAGGACGGCAAGGTGAGTTAACTGAACTCAGGTAGTAACACGGTACTAACATACTACTAACTAAGGTGAGTTACCTCAACTCCATATCAGGTGAGTTTAGTCTCTGTTTATCAAAAAGCAAATTATAATTTGTGACCATAGTAACATGTTAGTAACATGGTAGTGAGACTGTAGTAACATGTTAGTGAGACTGTAGTAACATGTTAGTGATACTGTAGTAACATGTTAGTAACATGGTAGTGAGACTGTAGTAACATGTTAGTGATACTGTAGTAACATGTTAGTGAGACTGTAGTAACATGTTAGTGATACTGTAGTAACATGATAGTAACATGGTAGTGAGAATGTAGTAACATGGTAGTAACATGTTAGTGATACTGTAGTAACATGTTAGTAACATGGTAGTGAGACTGTAGTAACATGGTAGTAACATGGTAGTGAGACTGTAGTAACATGTTAGTAACATGGTAGTGAGACTGTAGTAACATGTTAGTGAGACTGTAGTAACATGTTAGTAACATGTTAGTGATACTGTAGTAACATGTTAGTAACATGGTAGTGAGACTGTAGTAACATGGTAGTAACATGGTAGTGAGACTGTAGTAACATGTTAGTAACATGGTAGTGAGACTGTAGTAACATGTTAGTGAGACTGTAGTAACATGTTAGTAACATGGTAGTGAGACTGTAGTAACATGTTAGTGATACTGTAGTAACATGGTAGTAACATGGTAGTGAGACTGTAGTAACATGTTAGTGAGACTGTAGTAATATGTTAGTAACATGGTAGTGAGACTGTAGTAACATGTTAGTAACATGGTAGTGAGACTGTAGTAACATGTTAGTAACATGGTAGTGAGACTGTAGTAACATGTTAGTGAGACTGTAGTAACATGTTAGTAACATGGTAGTGAGACTGTAGTAACATGTTTAGTGATACTGTAGTAACCATGGTAGTAACATGGTAGTGAGACTGTAGTAACATGTTAGTAACATGGTAGTGAGACTGTAGTAACATGGTAGTAACATGGTAGTGAGACTGTAGTAACATGTTAGTAACATGGTAGTGAGACTGTAGTAACATGATAGTAACATGGTAGTGAGACTGTAGTAACATGGTAGTAACATGGTAGTGAGACTGTAGTAACATGTTAGTGAGACTAGTAACATGGTAGTAACATGGTAGTGAGACTGTAGTAACATGGTAGTAACATGGTAGTGAGACTGTAGTAACATGTTAGTGAGACTGTAGTAACATGGTAGTAACATGGTAGTGAGACTGTATAATGGTTAGTGAGATGTAGTAAATGGTAGTGAGACTGTAGTAACATGGGAGTGAGACTGTAGTAACATGGTAGTGAGACTGTAGTAACATGTTAGTGAGACTGTAGTAACATGGTAGTAACTGGAGTGAGACTGTAGTAAACTGGTAGTGAGGGCTGTAGTACATGTTAGTAACATGGGAGTGAGACTGTAGTAACATGTTAGTGAGACTGTGAAACATGTTAGTACATGTTAGTGATACTGTGTAACCTGGTAGTAACATGGTAGTGAGACTGTAGTAACATGGTTAGTGAGACGTAGTAACATGGTAGTGATACTGTAGTAACATGTTAGTGAGACTGTAGTAAAATGGTAGTGGGGACGTAGTAAAAAATGTTAGTGGACTGTAGTAACATGTTGTGGGACTGTAGTTAACATGGTAGTAACATGGTGAGTGGAGACTGTAGTAACATGGTAGTGAGACTGTAGTAAAATGGTAGTGAGACTGTAGTAACATGGTATTAAACATGGTAGTGAGACTGTAGTAACATGGTAGTGAGACTGTAGTAACATGGTAGTGAGACTGTAGTAACATGGTAGTGAGACTGTAGTAACATGGTAGTAACATGGTAGTGAGACTGTAGTAACATGGTAGTGAGACTGTAGTAACATGGTAGTAACATGTTAGTGAGACTGTAGTAACATGGTATTAACATGGTAGTGAGACGTAGTAAAAATGGTAGTTTAGACTGTAGTAACAGTTAGTGAGACTGTAGTTACATGTTAGTGATAAATGTAGTAAAAATGGTAGTAACATGGTAGTGAGACTGTAGTAAACATGGTAGTGAGACTGTAGTAACATGTTAGTAACATGGTAGTGAGACTGTAGTAAAATGTTTGTGAGACTTTTAGTACATGTAGTAAAACATGTAGTGATACTGTAGTAACATGGTAGTAACATGGTAGTGAGACTGTAGTAACATGGTAGTGAGACTGTAGTAACATGTTAGTGATACTGTAGTAACATGTTAGTGAGACTGTAGTAACATGGTAGTGAGACTGTAGTAACATGTTAGTGAGACTGTAGTAACATGTTAGTGAGACTGTAGTAACATGGTAGTAACATGGTAGTGAGACTGTAGTAACATGGTAGTGAGACTGTAGTAACATGTAGTGAGACTGTAGTAACATGGTAGTGAGACTGTAGTAACATGGTAGTAACATGGTAGTGAGACTGTAGTAACATGGTAGTGAGACTGTAGTAACATGGTAGTGAGACTGTAGTAACATGGTAGTGAGATGTAGTAACATGGTAGTGAGACTGTAGTAACGTTAGTGAGACTGTAGTAACATGGTAGTGAGACTGTAGTAACATGGTAGTAACATGGTAGTGAGACTGTAGTAACATGGTAGTGAGACTGTAGTAACATGGTAGTAACATGGTAGTGAGACTGTAGTAACATGGTAGTGAGACTGTAGTAACATGGTAGTGAGACTGTAGTAACATGTTAGTGATACTGTAGTAACATGGTAGTAACATGGTAGTGAGACTGTAGTAACATGGTAGTGAGACTGTAGTAACATGTTAGTGATACTGTAGTAACATGGTAGTAACATGGTAGTGAGACTGTAGTAACATGGTAGTGAGACTGTAGTAACATGGTAGTGAGACTGTAGTAACATGGTAGTGAGACTGTAGTAACATGGTAGTGAGACTGTAGTAACATGGTAGTAACATGGTAGTGAGACTGTAGTAACATGGTAGTGAGACTGTAGTAACATGGTAGTGAGACTAGTAACATGTTAGTGATACTGTAGTAACATGGTAGTAACATGGTAGTGAGACTGTAGTAACATGGTAGTGAGACTGTAGTAACATGGTAGTGTCACACTAGTAACCAAGTTGTAACATAATAGTATCTGATTGGCTCTAGATTAGATAAGTGTCTGCTAAATGACTAAAATGTCAACGTTACAGTCACTTACTGACCTGGTAGCCAAATAGTAACACAGACAGAAAGAGAAAGGGGGATACCTAGTCAGTTGTACAACTGAATGCATTCAACTGAAATGTGTCTTCTGCATTTAACCCAACCCCTCTGAATCAGTAACATAGTAGTTATATGGTAATTACACGGTAATAACCATCTGTAATTGTGTGTTTTCCAGTTTATCCAGTGGAACATCCACCGATGTGGGGAGAAGCAGTTCGAGCACTCCCTGCCCCAGGATGCCACGGGGCCCTTTGTGCTGTCTGGGTACAGTGGGTACAAGCAGGTCCAGGTGCCACGCGGACGGCTCTTCGCCTTCGACTCGGAGGGACAACACGTCCTCACCTGCTCCAACAACGGAGGAATCATCTACAGGGTAAAGGCTGCTTAAGAGTTTATTTATTTTTTATTAACCATTTCCTATTTTTTTGTCTGTGTCCCAAATGGCACCCTATTTCCTTTATGGAGCACTACTTTTGACCAGGGCCCATAGGGGTAGTAGTGTACTATATGTAGGGAATAGGGTGTCATTTGGGACGCACACTAAAATACGAACGGTTCAATAAAACCTAAGGTAGTAAGGCTGCTTAGAGCAGTGGCTCTCGAACCTCTCCTCAAGGACCCCCCCAGATGTTTCACGATTTGTGTTGTAGCCCTGAGCTATTTCACCTGATTCAAGGAGTCAAGGGCTTGATGATGAGTTGACCAGTTGAATCAGGTGTGCCAGCTATGGAGTAGATCAAACACGTGGAACGGCTGAGGGTCCCCAAGGAAAGGTTTGAGAACCACTGGCTTAAAGTTTTTTTTTGAAACCTTTTCGTATTTTTTATGTAGATACAAAAACAGAGAGGGAGATGTGGAGGAGAGAAGGTCAGAAGGTGCTTTACAAGGGTGGACCCTGCTCTCATGTGGTGTATTCACTAGGAACCAGTCTAGTCCCCCAGTCTAGTCCCGTGTAGCTCAGTTGGTAGAGCATGGCGTTTGCAACGCCAGGGTTGTGGGTTCGTTTCCCATGGGGGACCAGTATGAAAAAAAAAAAAATATGAAAAAAAAAATTTGTATGCACTCACTAACTGTAAGTCGCTCTGGATAAGAACGTCTGCTAAATGACTAAAATGTAAAAAAATTAACCAAACGGAAGCAAACGGGGAGGAAACGTTTTCCGTAGCAAAAGACTAATGAATACACCCCTTGGCAGTAGCGTAGAGCCAGGAGTGTCCCCACTCGCTTGACCATGACTCAGTACTACAGTTTTAGTAATGCCAGCCTGTGTGTGTGGCTCAATCCCAATAGCCCTCCCCTCAGTAGGGGAGTGTCCCTCAGTGGGGGAGTGTCCCTCAGTGGGGGAGTGTCCCTCAGTGGGGGAGTGTCCCTCAGTAGGGGAGTGTCCCTCAGTGGGGGAGTGTCCCTCAGTAGGGGAGTGTCCCTCAGTGGGGGAGTGTCCCTCAGTGGGGGAGTGTCCCTCAGTAGGGGAGTGTCCCTCAGTAGGGGAGTGTCCCTCAGTAGGGGAGTGTCCCTCAGTGGGGGAGTGTCCCTCAGTAGGGGAGTGTCCCTCAGTAGGGGAGTGTCCCTCAGTGGGGGAGTGTCCCTCAGTAGGGGAGTGTCCCTCAGTGGGGGAGTGTCCCTCAGTAGGGGAGTGTCCCTCAGTAGGGGAGTGTCCCTCAGTAGGGGAGTGTCCCTCAGTAGGGGAGTGTCCCTCAGTAGGGGAGTGGCACTGGAAAACGGAGCAACTATTGGTAGGGAGAGATAAATAACCCTCGGGAATGGGACATCACTACATCACTCTAGGGAATGGGACATCACTACATCACCCTAGGGTATGGGACATCACTACATCACCCTAGGGCATGGGACATCACTACATCACCCTAGGGAATGGGACATCACTACATCACCCTAGGGAATGGGACATCACTACATCACCCTAGGGTATGGGACATCACTACATCACCCTAGGGTATGGGACATCACTACATCACCCTAGTGAATGGGACATCACTACATCACTCTAGGGAATGGGACATCACTACATCACCCTAGGGAATGGGACATCACTACATCACCCTAGGGTATGGGACATCACTACATCACCGTAGTGAATGGGACATCACTACATCACCCTAGGGAATGGGACATCACTACATCACTCTAGGGTATGGGACATCACTACATCATCCTAGGGAATGGGACATCACTACATCACCCTAGGGTATTGGACATCACTACATCACCCTAGGGTATGGGACATCACTACATCACCCTAGGGTATGGGACATCACTACATCACCCTAGGGAATGGGACATCACTACATCACTCTAGGGTATTGGACATCACTACATCACCCTAGGGTATGGGACATCACTACATCACCCTAGGGTATGGGACATCACTACATCACCCTAGGGAATGGGACATCACTACATCACCCTAGGGAATGGGACATCACTACATCACCCTAGGGAATGGGACATCACTACATCACCCTAGGGAATGGGACATCACTACATCACCCTAGGGAATGGGACATCACTACATCACCCTAGGGAATGGGACATCACTACATCACCCTAGGGAATGGGACATCACTACATCACCCTAGGGAATGGGGACATCACTACATCACCCTAGGGAATGGGACATCACTACAATCACCCTAGGGAATGGGACATCACTACATCACTCCTAGGGAATGGGACATCACTACATCACCCTAGGGAATGGGACATCCCTACATCACCCTAGGGATGGGACATCACTACATCACCCTAGGGCATGGGACATCACTACATCACCCTAGGGAATGGGACATCACTACATCACCCTAGGGAATGGGGAAGGGACATCACTACATCACCCTAGGGAATGGGACATCACGGCATCACCCTAGGGAATGGGACATCACTACATCACCGTAGGGCATGGGACATCACTACATCACTCTAGGGTATGGGACATCACTACATCACCCTAGGGAATGGGACATCACTACATCACCCTAGGGAATGGGACATCACGGCATCACCCTAGGGAATGGGACATCACTACATCACCCTAGGGAATGGGACATCACTACATCACTCTAGGGTATGGGACATCACTACATCACCCTAGGGAATGGGACATCACTACATCACCCTAGGGAATGGAACATCACTACATCACCCTAGGGAATGGAACATCACTACATCACTCGAGCATATCAGAAGCCGCCAATGGATAGCCTACCACGCAATTCATTGAGGACGAGCCTTGTGTTTTTCACAATGCCTGTACTTATATTTCTCATGCAACAAATACACTACTGGTAAAAGGTTTTAGAACACCTACTCATTCAAGGGTTTTTCTTTATTTTTACTATTTTCTACGTTGTAGAATAATAGTGAAGACATCAAAACTATGAAATAACACATATGGAATCATGTAGTAACCAAAAAAGTGTTAAACATATCAAAATATATTTTATATTTGAGATTATTCAAATTGCCACACTTTGCCTTGATGACAGCTTTGCACACTCCTGATGGATTTGGATACTGCTTTAAAGCACATTTCAGCAGCATTAGTAAAGATTTGATCAATACATGTTGATGATTTTATTCCTGTGCTGTTTGTAACTACCCTGGTAGGTTGACTGATAACCTGAACCAGGTTGCAGGCACCAGTTACAGTTTGAAGCATTTTCATCAGCTTGATGAATGCCAGTCAATATTTAAATTACCCAGAAAATACACCTCTCTGTTGACATACTTATCAACATTACAAGCATCCATTTACATGATCTGTCAGCACTTGGTGGCAACTCAGCGACACAATGGTAGGGATTAACTGAGCTGGGCTTGGGTCATTGATAAGTCATTGTATCAACGCAGCCTTATAATGTGAAAGGATCCAGGAACCCAAATGATTTGGGTGGATCCCATCCTCCTTATAAAACTAGCTTTGTTTCCAGAAGGTATCAAAATTGTCAATAAATGTTACACCCACAGAGCTTCAATAGTCTCAAAGCCAGTTATGGAGGGCTAAAAGTCTGATGAAACGTTCAATGCCACGATTTAGGGAGGGCACAGGGCCAGATATTATGGGGCGTTTGTTGATATCAAGCAGAAACCCAATCAGTTCTTTAAAATCCATCTTCAGCTTTTCTGAGCTGCCCTTCATAATGTAATTGAATCCCACATGAACTATGATAGACTCAATTTCCTGATGCAGGTTTAAAATGTTTGGGAGCAGCTTATTGATGCCCAGTACTCGTGCTCCTGGATAGCACAACGTTTTTGCTCCAGGGACTGAGACATTTGTCACCATTGAACTGCCCAACACAACGGCTGGAGAAGGGGATGGAGGAATCTGAAACCCTCACACAATTTGTGGAACCTTTCACGGGCCCGTGAGAAGTAGGATAGCATACGCCCGCTGCTCCCGGCGACAGGTCCAGACCTCCCACAGCAGCCAGTGCCCCTTCAGATCCAGAGAGAGGGAAAGGAGCCGAACTCGACGACGAAGCCGCTGCTGGAGTCGGCACAGCCGTCGCAGACACAGGCAGTCCCAGCAACGAAGGCGCAGGTAGATCCCAAGCTAACAGGCGAGCCACAAACAGGTAGATCCCAAGCTAACAGGTGAGCCACAAACAGGTAGATCCCAAGCTAACAGGTGAGCCACAAACAGGTAGATCCCAAGCTAACAGGTGAGCCACAAACAGGTAGATCCCAAGCTAACAGGTGAGCCACAAACAGGTAGATCCCAAGCTAACAGGCGAGCCACAAACAGGTAGATCCCAAGCTAACAGGTGAGCCACATACATGCAAATAACGGCGCAGTACAACAGTGATGTGCAGAATGGCATCTCGGAACGCACAACTCGTCGGTCCTTGTCACGGATGGGCTATTGCAGCAGACGACCACACCGGGTTCCACTCCTATCAGCTAAAAACAAGAAGAAGCGGCTCCAGTGGGCAGGCCATCACCAATACTGGACAACTGAGAAGTGGAAAAACAACAGCCTGGTCCGACGAATCCCGGTTCCTGTTGCGTCATGCTGATGGCAGAGTCAGGATTTGGTGTAAGCAGCATCAGTCCATGGACCCATCCTGACTGGTGTCAACAGTACAGGCTGGTGGCTTAATGGTGTAGGGAATGTTTTCCTTGCATACGTTAGGTCCCTTGATACCAATTGAGCAACGTTGCCGTGCCCAAAATAATTCAAGCTGTTCTGGAGGCAAAGGGGGGTCCGACTCTGTACTAGATGGGTGTACCTAATAAACTGGCCACATAGTGTATATTTCTACTATGAGTTTGGAATAATATTGTGAAATTGTAAAAATTATGATAATGCCCTTTTAGTATAAGAGCTGTTTGAAAAGACCTCCTGAAATTTCAGCCTGTTTTGGTGGGATGGAGTTTTGGCCTGGCTGTTGACATCACCATGTGGTAAATTAGTTCATAGACCAATAAGAAAGAGAGTTCCAAACCTCTCTGCCAATAACAGCTAGTTTTCAGTTTTCCCCCTCCCCACTCAGACCCCTCCTAAACGGTCCTAGCAAATTTCTTGCTTGAGAAATTGCTCTTTGATAAGAAGCATTTTTTTAACCATTTTAATTGACAGTAAGGTATTTAATTGTTCCCTAGAAATGATCTGATATTGAGATAAAAGCGTCTACAATTGGACGTTTAAAGATTGCAGGCGAGCTTACCGTTACTCCTTAACATCCAAGGACCTTATATGTTATGTTTAGAGGGAGACTGGCTCTGGCAGCCAAAACAGCCAGATACTCCATCTAAACGTGAAGCGATACGGTTCTAGAAACATAAAGGCCTTTACTTCCATATCACATCAAAATAATTTCACAAATGCAAAATGTTTTAACCAGGTTTATTTTTCTGTTACATTTTTCTAGCGTCCTTCCTTCTGTTACACACAGGAGTTCGGAACATGCTAGATCAGTGGTATACAATTTTCTAGCCTTGGGTCGCAGAGCTTCATGGGAATTTTGAGTACCACTCAGTAGGAAGCCAGCAACTCGATTCGCTTAGTTTGGAATCACTAGGCCCAACTAGAGGGCTGAAAAGGCACTACACCTCGCTCAAAGTTGAATTAGGACAACACTCCCACTTCAAACGGCTCGCAGGATCGCTCAAAACAGAGGCTAAGGGGGCTATTGGGAGTGGTGTGTGTGTGTGTGTGTGTGTGTGTGTGTGTGTGTCTGTGTCTGTGTCTGTGTGTCTGTGTGTCTGTGTGTCTGTGTGTCTGTGTGTCTGTGTGTCTGTCTGTGTGTGTGTGTCTGTGTCTGTGTGTGTGTGTCTGTGTCTGGGTGTGTGTCTGTGTCTGTGTCTGTGTGTGTGTGTGTGTGTCTGTGTGTGGCTAGGAGGCTCCGTTTGAACAGCACTAATACAAAACCTCCTGCATGAGAGTGAAACCTATTATTTGTCGACTACCACATTAATTTAATACCAATGGATCTGTACAGTAGCTGCTGCTGCTGCCCCGCTGCCTGTGAACCGTTATATATTATACAGTCTCTGCTGTGAAGTGAACAGATCTCTTTAAGACTGGATGTCATGCAGGAGATGTGTATTAGTGATGGGGCCAGTGGAGCCTCTCCCAGCTACAATAAGCAGACTATCGGTGTGTAGTAGTAAGTACGGCACCAACATTACATTTTCATTTGTCATTTAGCAGACACTCTTATCCAGAGCGACTTACAGTTAGTCCATCTTTAAAGCTGGAATCCGTAGCGGTGAAACTGCCACGTCTGTTTGCGAGATTACAACAACAAAGACGATACTTCAAACAAAAACAAAAAAATTCCCCTCTCTGACATCATTGCACATCATTGTATGCGGGATACAACAGCAGAGTATGTACTACACGTTTTGTTTTACGTAGATGCTCCTCCTCCTTTCATAAACAAAGCAATAACAAATGTCCCTGGGTGTTATCAGTGGCTTCGCTTAATGGGCATTCCATCTTTAAGGCATAGCCATAGGAAGTCAATTCTTCCCTCGATAGAAGTAGCTATTGGCAAAATCAGTGTTGACAAGAAAAGACAAGTGTGAGAGTTAGTGCGAACAAGGCAAGGGTTGTTTTTTTTGTTTGTTGCCCTGACTGTCTGTGTGTGTCTCCTCTTCTCCTTTCCAGCTGAACAGCTCCAGTGAGAGTGGTCTGGAGAGGGTTCTGCCCCTGGGGGGCCACAAGGCCCCCGTGGTCACAGTGGACTGGTGCTCTGCCATGGACTGTGGCACCTGCCTCACCGCATCCATGGACGGAAAGATCAAACTCAGCACGCTACTGGCACAGAAGTCCTGATTTGGTTGATCGATTTTTAAAGTCGTGAGGGAGGGGCCTCATTGGAGCGGAGCATTTTATTGGAGCATCACACTTTTGAAGCCGATGTATTGTACAGTAGCACACGTCCTATAAAATGTAATACTTTGTACTGACCTAAGGCAGTCCTATACAGTAGCTCTGGACGGTCCACAACATATCATGGATGAAATGGGGCATTAGAAAGTCATTACTTAGAGCAACATCAACTCATTCCTTACCTGCAAGTGGGTGTTCAGTCCATGTGAGAGACAATGTTATATTTGATGCAGTACAGAAGTTGTGCCTACAAATCTGAACTGGTTATGAGATGCCATGCACCGGTCCTAGGCTGCACCGTGCACCGGTCCTAGGCTGCACCGTGCACCGGTCCTAGGCTGCACCGTGCACCGGTCCTAGGCTGCACCGTGCACCGGTCCTAGGCTGCACCGTGCAGACGTGGGACCATTTCTTGCTTCTCTGTTTGACGCAGTACTCCTGATCAGGGGTTGTTTGTTTCATCATGTATGTATAATCACTTGTGATTATGACAATAAACATTTGTAGATAGCCCTGTATTAGCAAGTGTTTTTTTTCTTCTTTCAACTGGATTCAAATACAACAACCAATGGAATTATGGTTATATGATGATATATTATAATGGTTATACTTCACTAGACCCAAATATGGGTATTATATTATATCTCAGAACATTGGAATCATCCAAACGGAAACAGAAGGAACAGAAGTGAGAGACGTTAGCTATATACAGTGAAGGGGAAAAAAGTATTTGATCCCCTGCTGATTTTGTACGTTTGCCCACTGACAAAGAAATGATCAGTCTAAATTTTTAATGGTAGGTTTATTTGAACAGTGAGAGACAGAATAACAACAAAAAAATCCAGAAAAACGCATGTAAAAAATGTTATAAATTGATTTGCATTTTAATGAGGGAAATAAGTATTTGACCCCCCTCTCAATCAGAAAGACTTCTGGCTCCCAGGTGTCTTTTATACAGGTAACGAGCTGAGATTAGGAGCACACTCTTAAAGGGAGTGCTCCTAATCTCAGTTTGTTACCTGTATAAAAGACACCTGTCCACAGAAGCAATCAATCAATCAGATTCCAAACTCTCCACCATGGCCAAGACCAAAGAGCTCTCCAAGGATGTCAGGGACAAGATTGTAGACCTACACAAGGCTGGAATGGGCTACAAGACCATCGCCAAGCAGCTTTGTGAGAAGGTGACAACAGTTAGTGCGATTATTCGCAAATGGAAGAAACACAAAATAACTGTCAATCTCCCTCTGCCTGGGGCTCCATGCAAGATCTCACCTCGTGGAGTGTTTTTTTTTTTGGGGGGGGGTAGATCAGCTTAATATTGCAGATTGTAACTTCCATCAATGTAATTGTCTGCATCACTTCCAATCCCCCATGTTTTTATATATATATACAGTGGGGGAAAAAAGTATTTAGTCAGCCACCAATTGTGCAAGTTCTCCCACTTAAAAAGATGAGAGAGGCCTGTAATTTGCATCATAGGTACACGTCAACTATGACAGACAAAATGAGAGAAAAGAAATTCCAGAAAATCACATTGTAGGATTTTTAATGAATTTATTTGCAAATTATGGTGGAAAATAAGTATTTGGTCAATAACAAAAGTTTCTCAATACTTTGTTATATACCCTTTGTTGGCAATGACACAGGTCAAACGTTTTCTGTAAGTCTTCACAAGGTTTTCACACACTGTTGCTGGTATTTTGGCCCATTCCTCCATGCAGATCTCCTCTAGAGCAGTGATGTTTTGGGGCTGTCGCTGGGCAACACGGACTTTCAACTCCCTCCAAAGATTTTCTATGGGGTTGAGATCTGGAGACTGGCTAGGCCACTCCAGGACCTTGAAATGCTTCTTACGAAGCCACTCCTTCGTTGCCCGGGCGGTGTGTTTGGGATCATTGTCATGCTGAAAGACCCAGCCACATTTCATCTTCAATGCCCTTGCTGATGGAAGGAGGTTTTCACTCAAAATCTCACGATACATGGCCCCATTCATTCTTTCCTTTACACGGATCAGTCGTCCTGGTCCCTTTGCAGAAGAACAGCCCCAAAGCATAATGTTTACACCCCCATGCTTCACAGTAGGTATGGTGTTCTTTGGATGCAACTCAGCATTCTTTGTCCTCCAAACACGACGAGTTGAGTTTTTACCAAAACGTTATATTTTGGTTTCATCTGACCATATGACATTCTCCCAATCCTCTTCTGGATCATCCAAATGGACTCTAGCAAACTTCAGACGGGCCTGGACATGTACTGGCTTAAGCAGGGGGACACGTCTGGCACTGCAGGATTTGAGTCCCTGGCGGCGTAGTGTGTTACTGATGGTAGGCTTTGTTACTTTGGTCCCAGCTCTCTGCAGGTCATTCACTAGGTCCCCCCGTGTGGTTCTGGGATTTTTGCCTGGTGCAGGTCTACAATTTTTTTCTTGGTGTCCTTTGACAGCTCTTTGGTCTTGGCCATAGTGGAGTTTGGAGTGTGACTGTTTGAGGTTGTGAACAGGTGTCTTTTATACTGATAACAAGTTCAAACAGGTGCCATTAATACAGGTAACGAGTGGAGGACAGAGGAGCCTCTTAAAGAAGAAGTTACAGGTCTGTGAGAGCCAGAAATCTTGCTTGTTTGTAGGTGACCAAATACTTATTTTCCACCATAATTTGCAAATAAATTCATTAAAAATCCTACAATGTGATTTTCTGGAGAAAAAAATTCTCAATTTGTCTGTCATCGTTGACGTGTACCTATGATGAAAATTACAGGCCTATCTCATCTTTTTAAGTGGGAGAACTTGCACAATTGGTGGCTGACTAAATACTTTTTTCCCCCACTGTATATATACACATACACATATACACACAAACATACACATATATAATCCTTTTTAAAAATATATATATTCCCCTTTATTACTTTCCAACCCCGCCACCCTTTCCCCACTTGGAGTAAACTAGTGAACAACAACGCCTAGGCCTCTACTTCCAGCCCATACCCACTATCTACATTTTATGGACACAGTCAATTTTACAGTAATTACATTTTGCTGGTTCTTTCACCTGAACTTCTTCTACTCTCAACCTCTCCGATCATTTTCATGATGTCCATCCGGTTTGCTTCTATATGCCATATCTTTCTAACTGTGCTCCTTCACAAAAGCTCCCAACCTACAACCCATATACTTATTATGGACACAGCGTGCCTACATTATTAGCTATCTTGTTATTGTTTTGTTGTTAGTTGTTATTAGTCCCATCCTTCAATTCCATTCAACACCTCCCATCTATCTTTTAACACCATCCATATAGGATTTATATTTGCCATATATATTTCAACTGTACTGTGATGTCTTACAAAAGTTCTGAACCTTTCTATTCTCATTGTTTCTACAGATTGTGAATTGAAAATAAACATTTTTGCTAATAGTATTATTATGTTATTGATCGATTGACTATGACTTTTCAGATCACCCAGTAGTGCTATCTGCAGGGTTAGCTACAGGTAAATATTGCAATCCTTTAGCCATTCATGGACCTGTGTCCAAAAACAAGCTACAAATGGACAGTACCAAAACAAATGATCTAATGATTCTGTCTCTTCGCAGCAAAATCTGCAGAGCTGAGAAGATTTCATCCCCCATATATATAACATTATATTGGTAGCAAGAATTTTATATAATAATTTAAGTTGAAAGATTCTAAGTTTTGAATCTGGTGTCATTTTGCGTATCAGTTCATAAACACTATACAGCCATTTCCATATGTTTTTGTTAGCTGCATGTGCGACATAACTCCACCAGTCCTACCGATGATATCATTTACAAAGATTAAACCTTTTTGAAACATTTTGTCAAAAAAAAAAGTTTTTTGGGTCAATTAGTATATTTGAGTTTAACCACAATATTTGTTGCATTATTTGTTCTGTCGTTTCTGGAGGATTACATTGAAATTGCAACCAACTTTCTATGGCTTGTTTTAGAAATAGTGATATCTAGGGAGATGATTTCCTTTTCAAATAACTGAAAGTGAGTGGTTGTAATCTGAATAAAGGGAAAAAGGCCATTCTTGAACATTGGGTGAGACAATCTTACTAATTTGCAAGAGAACCAGTTCGGATTTAAGTATAACTTTTGTATGACTGAAGCTTTTAGTGATAGGTCTAATGCTTTAATATTTAATAATTTCTGTCCTCCGAATTCATATTCATTATATAAATAGGCCCGTTTAATTTGGTCAGGCTTGCCGTTCCAAATAAAATTGAATATTTTTTTCTCATATAATTTAAAAAACGGTTCATTTTTTACATGCGTTTTTCTGGATTTTTGTTGTTGTTATTCTGTCTCTCACTGTTCAAATAAACCTACCATTAAAATTATAGACTGATAATTACTTTGTCAGTGGGCAAACGTACAAAATCAGCAGGGGATCAAATACTTTTTCCCCCTCACTGTAGGTAAAGCAAAAAACAGCCCCGTCTGTGGCAGCCTGGGATGAGTAACGACGTGTCATAATGACATGTCAGAGTATCCTGGTGTGATCTTACTGCACTTCCTCTCACATCATTAGCCACTGGAGAAGTCTGAACAGGGTCCACAAAGCCTCTACTAGTAGGAGTGCTAATCTATAATCATAATTAATAAGATGATATGGAAAGGTTGGGACCTGATCCTAAAATCAGCAATTTTACTCCGATGTTTTGTGGGTACTGGCCCTGATCCTTAACTTACTTTAATGAGTTACCTGGACATCAAGTCTGGCAAACGCAATGCATTGCAAATAATGTTCTCCTCTACATGAAACTTGTTTGTCTTTAGAACTAACTTCACTCAATGCAAATGAACGACTCATCTTACAATCGGTTTCCTACCATTGGATTCTCTGAAATTCACTATATAAAAACAGACAAAAAAAAAAAAAGGATGGCATTGTGACGTACAATTTATTAAAACCAGGTTCTGTGAGATCTTCCTGTTTATAAAGGCACAAGGCTTTACTGAATATTGAATTTACTAGATGTTATGTGCACTTGAGATATCATAAAATAGAAACTTATAAACAAACAATACAAACCGGCTATTAGTGTAGTTACTGTGGACTAGTTTTGTTCTTTAATACTCGAGGCACTGAAATTCCCCTGTCAATGAGATTTACTTGTTTGACCCTCATGTTCAATGTCCAAGTCAAGACCTAGACATTATGCTTTTTCAGACCATTTTCACATAACCAACCCTATCCAATAAAGATATGGCTGTTCTTCTACAACTCGGTCCCTTTCTGAGATTTGGCCTTTCCACCAGGTGAGTCTTCAACAAGCCTCTTCAATCTCCCAAGGTGATGCAGGGCCCTAAAACAAAAGAAGATAGTTATTTAACCATTTTATGTGACAGAGTATCAGGGTCTTTAGAAAAAAGGACATATCTGAAATAAGACAGTAGACTAAATGTATCTATTTGTATAAGTACTGTACCTCTGTAATGATTGTCCACCGAGCGCAGTGTCATAGTCATCTGACATCTGTAATTCAGACAACGGTATCACTGCTCAGGTTCACATCAGTTATGTCATCTAGTTATGTGTCAGGCAAAATAGATTCATAACTAGAAACCAGATAATTTGAAGTCTACACATCAACCATCTCATTTTCAGTACCTTTATCATCAGTGGTTTTGTGCCGTTCTCCAACGTTGGCGTTTGGTACGGTGTTGAAGGATTCGCCAAGGTGACTTCCTTTTGTGTTGAGTCATTCTCCAGACTGACCTGTTGCTCCACGGCCTGCAGGCTAAACAGCATCTGTTTGAGGGCCTCCACCGGACCAGGGTGTTTCCTGCTGCTGTAGCCCGACGAACATGAGCCTGAGGCAGCCTGCACAGGCACGCCACAACATGGAAGATGGGGGGGGGGGGTTGAGTTAGGATTCAAGTACATGGCTCTGGGCTACAATAAACCCAACTCTCAATCAGAATTCTTAGTTAAAACTTTACATGGACTAAAGGAATCATCTTATCAAGAAACATTTTGTACAGACCTCATCTTTCCTGTCTCTCAGAGGCTCTGTGGTGATGAGTGTGTCTTCTGCTCCCCCTACTGGCACTGGTGATTTACTGCAGGGAGAGAAGCAAAACGTTTAGCAAAGCCTTCTGTGAAATTATAGCTCAATAATAGTTGAGTTTACTAAGTAGATTCTGCAAAACATATCCTACTTAATATTGGTAATGTATCATGCTCGTTTGTATTTTGAGAGTATTCGTACATGTTGCATCCTGAGACGCTGGGTTCTTTCACTGATGACTCCGAAGCGTACTTATAATAACCAGAACTGATTTATTTCATGTTCACCTTAACACATTCCAATCAACTACTACAGTGTCTTCAGCCCAACTCTCCTTTACGTCATTTAACTTTTTCACCGCCCTTGCATCTCGTAATCCAAATCACTTCAATGCAAGAACGGAAACCCCGTTGTCATTTGTTAATTCAAATAACTCAACTCCTGCATACAAATCCCATTGGCTATTTGCAACCATTTTAAATCTAAACATTCTCATTAACACATAATACATTTCTCAATACACCACAGTACATGTCACCACTTTGACACTAGGAGGATCATGGACTAGCACTCACAATGTGATGGCAGGGTTGTCCCAAGAGCGATCAGCTTCTAGGACATCCTCTGAGCCCCCAGGGCTCTGTCCCATGTCCTTCTGCAGCTGGCTGGTCGGGCCTAGTGAAGGAGAGTTCTGCAGCTGGCGGTTAGTGTTTAGGCCTAGCGAAGGAGAGTTAAGGGCCTCTGCCTTCAAGATCAAACTCTCTATCTTATCATCTGTGGAGAAACACGGTGGACAGCTCTTAATGCAAGTTTTACAACACACGAAAGTAGCAGTGTACTGCACTGTAAACTGAGGACTAAGTCTGGACAAGTGGTGTTGTTTAGACATGCAGAAAGTGTATTATACCGCTGAAGAGCTCGTCGAAACCAGCGCTCCGTTCTCCCTCTGCAGCTAAAGCTAGCCGCTCTGCAAACTGTAGTCTCAACTCCCTCAGTGTCCTGTGATCAGCCTCTCCTCTGAGAAGTTGTTGCCTGTCATCATCAGAACCAGAGGCGCCCTCAAGATGGCCGCCGTTACCGTCCTCCTTGTTTCCTTTTAGCTCCTCGTAGGAAGCCTCCAGCTCACCCAGCCAGGAGGGAGGTCTAGGGGAGGGGGGCAAGGTCTGGGTCGGGCCCCAATGCTGCGTCTTCTTATGAGACTCTGAGAGGTCTACGGTAGTGGTGGGAAAGTCTTTGGGAACATTGTCACACTCCTGGAGCCAGGCAGGGTACTTCAGGTCAGGAATGCTGGTGACCCCAGAGAAATCCATCTCAGACTTTTGGCTGGTCAGCCAGCGAGGGTAGTCATGGTGGGGGGAGAAAGGGCCATGGGAGTCTGGGGGTGGTAGGTCCCTCTGGTTCACCTCTGGACCTGGGGTCTGGTGGTAGAGACCATGATGGGGCTGGGGCGGCAGGCTCCCCTTCACTCTGGGGCCTGAGGATCTAAGGCCTGTGAAGGGCTCTGTCTTTTGCGTTTTCCCTGCTCGAGTTCCCACTCTGGACTGGTACAGCTTGTGAGGAGTGTTGTGAGGGGCAGAGTAGTGCAGGCAGCGTTTAATATGAGAGCTGCTGTTAGGCCTAGGCCTCCCAGAGGACCAGGAGTTAGAGTGGGAGCTCTGCCCCAGAGGGTAGTCCCCAGGACTGGGTGAGGAAGGCAGAGGTGCGGGTCACGGGTAGGGAGCCATCACAGGGGAGCACCAGCAGGTCGTCGGTGGTCAGGCTGATGCAGTCTGAGTCTCCACGGCGACCAGAACCCACAGGAAGATTCAGGAAGTCCAGCTCCCTGTCCGTTAGTCTTTCTCTAAGAACTGGGAACCAAGGACATGATACACCATTACAGTACACAATCAAGGTGGCTAATTATTGTACATTAATTAAGTTCCAAGCACCACTAGATAAAACATAATACTTTTATATCCATCTTCAAACAACTTGGACAGATAAAAGTTAAGCATTTCATTATTGAAAACAAAAACCTAAATCTTCACCATCTTTATTCCTGAACTCAGTTCTGGGCAGAGCAGAACTGATCTGGATTTTCTGGAGCTGCAGTCTCCCGGTAGAAGTTTCAGAAGTGTGCAGGCTTCTGTCAAAGTCTGCGATGTAGGCTTCCAGGGCCTCAGTAGCCGATTCATAGTCCCGATCCCGGTATCTGATGCCGGTGAGAGACAGGTCGGGGTCATTTAGGCTTTGGGTGCCTCTCAGGTGTCCGGAACTAGCCAACAAGGAGGTGACGGTTGACTCCGGAGAAAAGATAACGTCACCTTGGCCGGAAGTCATACTGTCAAACAAACTGACATGTTGTAAAGTTAGATAGTTTCTTATTTAAGCTTGTCATATATATCCAAGTTACCATAAACTGATCGTAAAGAAAGCATGCGTTTATCTGGCTAGTAGCAAGCTGAATCTCTGGGGGGTGGGTAGCTCCAGCTGACTTGTAACGGATAAATAAAAAAACCACCCGTCAAAAGTTTGTGTTTGCTGACTGTAAAACAAAACGTTAACTTAAACGTCAGCTTTTGTCGTACTCTTGCGGGTTTTACCTGCTTGTAACCTATTAAGCAAAAGCATTTAAACGATGGGAAACGTGTTATAAACTTACCGGTAAACATTAGTAAGCTAGCTCCTATAGTTGAGTTGGTTCGTAGCAAACAAGCGCCAGCACAGTCGTCACCACAGCCACAAAGTCATAACCCCCGCCTATTTATTCAATTTCTCATCTTAAAATGGGATTTTAAACCTAATCATTTCTTAAATCACACTGCTAATGATATGCCTAACCCTAACATTAAATAAGAAATAAAAAAAAATTACGATACAGCCATTTTACTTTGTGGCTATAGTAACTAGTGGAAACTCTCCAGCGCAGCAAACGTGTTGGCCAACAGGAAATATTCCATGCGTTCTTACGTCACAGCGGCTACAAGCCGACAAGACCCTGCAGTCTTCCACTGTGATGATGAAGTTGTTCATCCACCTCATCATGGATACAAGATAGCCTACCCCTCCTCTACACTGTTCAATCAAATGGAATGAATGTTCAAAATTACAGCGGTACAGTTTGGAATATATTGCAATGAATTGCCAATACAATTTGATATAATGGTGATCATCATTAGGTTATTTATCACAATGATTGAATTTTCCATTGATTGATTGATTTGATTTGCCAGTTAAAAAAACACATATACACACAGTATATACATTTCAAAAGAGACTTATTTCCATTGTGGTCCCTAAATTCCATGGTGCAAAAACATTACAAAATGACATAGATACAGATACATTACATAAATACAGACATGCAAAAGTGTTATATTGCTTGATCATTAGCCAGCTTTATCAAATTATTTTTTACATGAAGTTATGGTCGGTATGGCTTTGAGTTGCTGTGGTAGTTTGTTCCACTCAACAGCGGCAGTATGTAAAACGTGTTCTTACCAGATACATTCTTAAATTTAAAACAGACAATATCAGAGTCTCTGGCTCTGGTGTTGTATTGGTGGACATCTCTAATATAAGTACAAGAATGTGATTATTACCTGGTGGCTGAGTCAGAAATAATTATGTGGACCAGCCCAGGTTGAATTAATATTACCCAGAAAGTCAGCGTAGCTGATTAAAACGCTTGGCCCCCCAGATGAGTACGAGGGGGTAGTTTAAGTACAATTCCAACCAGCTTGTTTTTGGCTGGTCTGTAGCTTATTCTGTAGATGTTTGGGGCTGCCGGTGAACCAATATGTGCACCCATAATCAAAGTGATACTGAACTAGCGCACCGGCCAGAGTCTTCAGTGTGACACTATCAAGATATTTTGAGGTCCGGACATTTATGTTTTGCTTTATCTTAGTTAAAACCTTCAGGGTCATAGTGTCACCGGTCAGGTATCTATCCAATTCACACCCAAGGACTGAGGTGTTTGGCATGACCTCTGAGTTGACCACTTTGACACTAAAACCAGGGGTCCTTGCAAGCTTTACTCTGGAACCAAATAAGATGGATTCTGTTTTTCCAAGACGCAGAGAAAGTTGGTTATCTACTGATATCGGATAACTCTGCACTAAGGATCTATTCTACTGAGGCTTTGTTCTTATGGGAGACCAGTAGAGCAGAGTCATTCGCGTACAAAAACAATTCACGAGAGCAGGCTGATTTCATATCATGAATGTACAGTAGGAAGTGACTTGGGCCAAGGATGCTCCCCTGCGGGACCCCACAGCTAATTGTCTTTGCACTAGAAAGTGTTCCATTAACATCCACCATTTGGTCTCATCCTGTTAAATAGGATTTAACCCAGTCAATGATCCTGCTGTTAAAACCAAGGGCTTGTCTTGTAGAGCATAATATTATGATCAACAGTCAAATGCCTTCTGCAGATCAAGCATTACTATTCCACAGAACTTTCCCAAGTCACCTTCTTTCCTGATAAAGTCAGTTAAAAACAACAGATGTGTCAGTGGAGTGGGATTTTCTAAATCCAGATTGTAGGTCATAAAAAATATTTTTCATGCTAGCATATTCCTCTATCTGTTCGTAAATTACTTTAGACCACACACTCAAAATATATATACAGTTGAAGTCAGATGTTTACATACACCTTAGCCAAATACATTTTGGAGCTCCCGAGTGGCGCAGCGGTCTATGGCACAGCATTTCAGTGCTAGAGGCGTCAATACGGACCCTGGTTCGATTCCTGGCTGTATCACAATCCAGCCATGATTGGGAGTCCCAAAGGGCGGCACATCATTTGCCGGGGTAGGTTGTCATTGTAAATAATAATTTGTTCTTAACAGACTTGCCTAGTTAAATAAAAAATAAAAACATTTAAACTAAGTTTTTCACAATTCCTGACATTTAATCCTAGTAAAAATTCCCTGTCTTAGGTTAGTTAGGATCACCACTTTATTTTAAGAATGTGAAATGTCAGAATAATAGTAGAGAGAATGATTTATTTCAGCTTTTATTTATTTCATCACATTCCCAGTGGGTCAGAAGTTTACATATACTCAATTAGTATTAGGTAGCATTGCCTTTAAATTGTTTAACTTGGGTCAAACTTTTTGGGTAGCCTTCCACAAGCTTCTCACAATAAGTTGGGTGAATTTTGGCCCATTCCTCCTGACAGAGATGGTGTAACTGAGTCAGGTTTGTAGGCCTCCTTGCTCGCACACGCTTTTTCAGTTCTGTCCACACATTTTCTATAGGATTGAGGTCAGGGCTTTGTGATGACCACTCCAATACCTAGACTTTGTTGTCCTTAAGCTATTTTGCCACAACTTTGGAAGTATGCTTGGGGTCATTGTCCATTTGAAAGACCCATTTGCGACCAAGCTTTAACTTCCTGACTGATGTCTTGTGATGTTGCTTCAATATATCCACATAATTTCCTTCCTCATGAAGCCATCTATTTTGTGAAGTGCACCAGTCCCTCCTGCAGCAAAGCACCCCCACATGATGCTGCCACCCCCGTGCTTCACGGTTGGGATGGTGTTCTTCGGCTTGCAAGAACCCCCTTTTTCCTCCAAACATAACAATGGTCATTATGGCAAAACAGTTATATTTGTGTTTCATCAGACCAGAGGACATTTCTCCAAAAAGTACAATCTTTGACCCCATGTGCAGTTGCAAACCGTAGTCTGGCTTTTTTATGGCGGTTTTGGAGCAGTGGCTTCTTCCTTGCTGAGCGGCCTTTCAGGTTATTTACATTACATTTTAGTCATTTAGCAGACGCTCTTATCCAGAGCGACTTACAGGAGCAATTAGGGTTAAGTGCCTTGCTCAAGGGCACATTAACGTCATTTAGCAGACGCTCTTAGCCAGAGCGACTCACAAATTGGTGCGTTCACCCTATAGCCAGTGGGATAACCACTTTACAATTTGGGGGGGGGGGGGTTAGAAGGATTGCTTTATCCTATCCCAGGTATTCCTTAAAGAGGTGGGGTTTCAAATGTCTCCGGAAGGTGGTGAGTGACTCCGCTGTCCTGACGTCGTGAGGGAGCTTGTTCCACCATTGGGGTGCCAGAGCAGCGAACAGTTTTGACTGGGCTGAGCGGGAGCTATGCTTCCGCAGAGGAAGGGGAGCCAGCAGGCCAGAGGTGGATGAACGCAATGCCCTCGTTTGGGTGTAGGGACTGATCAGAGCCTGAAGGTACAGAGGTGCCGTTCCCCTCACTGCTCCATAGGCAAGCACCATGGTCTTGTAGCGGATGCGAGCTTCAACTGGAAGCCAGTGGAGTGTGCGGAGGAGGGGGGTGACGTGAGAGAACTTGGGAAGGTTGAACACCAGACGGGCTGCGGCATTCTGGATGAGTTGTAGGGGTTTAATGGCACAGGCAGGGAGGCCAGCCAACAGCGAGTTGCAGTAGTCCAGACGGGAGATGACAAGTGCCTGGATTAGGACCTGTGCCGCTTCCTGTGTAAGGCAGGGTCGTACTCTCCGAATGTTGTAGAGCATGAACCTGCAGGAGCGGGTCACCGCCTTGATGTTGGCGGAGAACGACAGGGTGTTGTCCAGGGTCACGCCTAGGCTCTTCGCACTCTGGGAGGAGGACACAGCGGAGTTGTCAACCGTGATGGCGAGATCATGGAACGGGCAGTCCTTCCCCGGGAGGAAGAGCAGCTCCGTCTTGCCAGGGTTCAGCTTGAGGTGGTGATCCGTCATCCATACTGATATGTCTGCCAGACATGCAGAGATGCGATTCGCCACCTGGTTATCAGAAGGGTTATGTCGATATAGGACTTGTTTTACTGTGGATATAGATACTTTTGTACCTGTTTCCTCCAGCATCTTCACAAGGTCCTTTGCTGTTGTTCTGGGATTGATTTGCACTTTTCGCACCAAAGTACATTCATCTCTAGGAGACAAAACGTGTCTCCTTCCTGAGCGGTATGACGGATGCGTGGTCCCATGGTGTTTATACTTGCGTACTATTGTTTGTACAGATGAACGTGGTACCTTCAGGCATTTGGAAATTGCTCCGAAGGATGAACCAGACTTGTGGAGGTCTTGGCTGATTTCTTTTGATTTTCCCATGATGTCAAGCAAAGAGGCACTGAGTTTGAAGGTAGGCCTTGAAATACATCCACAGGTACACCTCCAATTGTCTCAAATGATGTCAATTAGCCTATCAGAAGCTTCTAAAGCCATGACATAATTTTCTTGAATTTTCCAAGCTGTTTAAAGGCACAGTCAACTTAGTGTATGTAAACTTCTGACCCACTGGAATTGTGATACAGTGAATTATAAATGAATAATCTGTCTTTAAACAATTGTTGGAAAAATTGCTTGTGTCATGCACAAAGTAGATGTCCTAACCGACTTTCCAAAACTATAGTTTGTTAACAAGAAATTTGTGGAGTGGTTGAAAAACGAGTTTTAATGACTCCAACCTAAGTGTATGTAAACTTCCGACTTCAGTTGCCCTTGTCTGTCTTGCGGAGAGGGATCCCTCTAGCATGTTTCGTATCTGTGGGAACTATTTCCCTACTCATTTACATTTTAGTCATTTAGCAGACGCTCTTATCCAGAGCGACTTACAGTTAGTGAATATTTTTATTTTTATACTGGCCCCCCGTGGGAATCAAACCCACAACCCTGGCGTTGCAAACGCCATGCTCTATCAACTGAGCTACATCCCTGCCGGCCATTCCCTCCCCTACCCTGGACGACG